ATCCAGGTCATAGTCATTCCGTAAAAGTTAAAAAAAAAATATCCACTGGACTTGGTTTCCAAGATTTGAAGACGTTTCGCCACCTCTCCAGGAAGCTTTCTCAATTCAAATGTCTGGATCGACACTGAGTTTGAGTCTTATATAGACAATGCCTTGTAACGCCTGGAAACATGCAAATGGTAACCGATGAATGGGTCGTTTGGTTCCATTGTTAGCCTGTAATACCTGAAACCTGTCTATGATTCTGAAGGTCGGTCGTTGAAGGGGGGGATTGTCGTTAAGGGGGGGATTGTCTCCTGTAATACCTGAAACCTGTCTATGATTGTTAAGGGTCGGTCGTTAAGGAGGTATTGTTCACCGCCTGGAGCCTGCCGGCTCACCTACCCGCTCCAGCCGGTGAACAATACCTCCTTAACGACCTTCCTGGAGAGGTGGCGAAACATCTTCAAATCTTGGAAACCAAGTCCAGTGGATTTTTTTTTGTTGAACTTTTATGGAATGACAGGATGATATAAGAGGTAATTTGTTGTAGCTGTATTTTTTAATAAATAAGATGTCATATTTACTGTAGAACATTATTTGATTAAATGTTTTTAATTTATAAGAGAGCTATAATTTAGTTACTGTTAGTTGCAGGTTTCTTTTTAATGCAGAAGTTATTTTTGCACCCTTTAGGGATACAGTAATAAAGCCTGTTTATTAACCTCTGAGAAGCCTGTCTGAATCCGTCCGAGGCTGGGAAAGTGTTCTCCTTTTAGGAAATCATAATAGGGTCACCCTAAGTTAGTTCCCTGCAGGAGAAAAGGGCACAACATAGGACAACTATTGGACCAGAGGCGCCATCAGACTTTCCTTGCCTGAATTCCTGTCTGGCTAATCTGGTCTTTAGAAATTGATGTGATTTGCTAAATTATCCGTAAAATAAGATTTTATCCTTTCTCCGAGGGAAAACGGAGAAGGAGTGTACATCATGCTGAATCCCCAATGTGCTGGTGGAAATTACTGCATTGATTCTTTTGGTGGCAGAGAGAAAAAAACGCAAGAATGATGGAGTCTGTGTGAGCCTGGGCTAAAAATACAGAGAAACTAAAGATTGTGATATTTACATGTTTAACAGAATAAACAAATAATTGAGGAGGAAATAAATAAACACAAACTGCTAACGCAAAGAAACACAACAAATCTTAAAATTGAAGCCGGGCATACACTGTACGATATATTTAATCATTGCACGGAGCTACAGCTCACACTGTATGATGAAGCTGCAGGGTTTAAAAGTTCACAGCTCACCATATTTGTTCTCACACTCCGACCCGACGCTCTGATGCGATCTACCTGCTCACCCTGTACGTCTAAAAACCAGGTGGGACTCAGCTCCACAGTGAGACGGCTCTACTTTGACTCGTCTATCAGGAAGCCAAATGAGGAATATGAAGCTCACTAGAGTGAAACGCGTTGCCTTGGTAATTTGTGCTGAAAGCCCTGAAAAAAAAAGGATACAACTTATTTTGAAAAAGACGCCGCTGAGCAAACGTGACTACTACGGTCTGTCAATTTAACAGAAAGAACTCCATTTCACACTGTAAAAAATCAAAATCTAGATAAGTAATTTTTTCTTAAAGCTACAGTGTGTAATAATTACAGGGATATACAGTCAGAAATGTAATATATTATACATAACTATGTTATTTATCATCATCTACGAGCTCAGCCTCTTAACCTTAATATTTGCGTTGCCTTAGAATTCGTTATTTATAATTACATAGGAGCGGGTCTCGCAGCCATGGAGGCAGACATCTTTGCGCTACGGCAGCGCAGAGCCAACAAACTAGCGATTGCGAGATCGCCAAAACGTCACAACGATGTAGAAAAAATAACGGGTATATTTATTATCTAAAGTCTACATGAAATCTATACCCTACACAGACTAATGAAATACTATCTGTAAAATTATCTATGTAAACAAACCTCATCACTTGAGAAGGTAGGTGATGCGGACGTCGTGGAAGACATTTTGTCCCGTAACGCTCGCCGTACTGTTGGGGGGGAGAAGCGGTGGAGGGGAGATGTTCATGTTGCTGCAGTCTGCACTCTGACCGCTAGATGTCGCTAAAAGTTACACACTGTAGCTTTAAAATAATTGCAATTGTTCTTGGATTAAGGAGGTAAGACAGACATTTTGCCAATGAAACAAGACAATTTACCATTAAAATAAGAAAACACAATTGCATTGTCTTATTTCAAATGCATATTATCTACTTATATTATTTTAAGAGTAAAAACACTAATTTCATTGTCAAACTATCTCATTAACCTACTCAAATTAAGGGTAAATACACTTAATTTAAGGAATTTTTTACTTATTTCTAGATCATTTTTCCAGTGAACTCATTGCACCCCCGCCATGCTGCTGGGTTTTCATCTGAAAGGAAGAAGAAGAATCCTTGTTTACGCACTGAACGATTTGCCCACAACCACCTTACGACGGCCGACTGAATTTCAAACTTGTTTGATTTTCTCCCGACCTTATGATTCCTGATGGGGAGGTGGTCGTTAGAGGCTGATTGACCCTCGTTACCCCCTGTACACTACACCACGCACCATCAGACTTAAAGGCTGCCTGATTGAAAAATTCTGGCATGACTGGAGAAATGCCATGAAAAGGGCAAAAAAAAAGAATAAAGCAATGATTATGATAAATAATGTTTCACACTGGGAGATAAATGGTGGTGCACAACCAAGCATGCTTTGGTCTGGCTCCCATTAAGCTAAAAGTTAGCTTCAGTTTCCGGGTTCAACTCATCTGCATTTGTTCTCTGCAATAAAACCAATAAGAGATCAGCTGCTCATAACCTTTAAACAGAAACTCACTTCATAAATCCTGAACTATACCATATCTATATCATATCTTAAAATAGAGATAAGTCTCAGATCAAACAGGCTTTCTTGGCTGTGGTCACTGACAGGGAAGAGCTGATCATAATGGAAAATTAGCCGGTCTCCCCATCCTGACGACTTAGTTTTCTCACAAAGAAAATCTAAACATATTTTTAATTAGAATACAGTTGTAATCTATGGTGTAGAATCTTAAAATGTTTTGTTACTGGATTTAGTTAACTATACATTATTAAAATTAAGGCCTGATCACAGCGGCTGCGTCTGAGGGCATATCTGTGTTAACTGCGTCACACATGCAGACCTGGTTTCTGAGCATAAATCAGCCTTTAATGAGTCTGTGCAGCATCTAGAACCAGAACAGATAGAGAATGTTCATAAATAATAAATAAATTGCCCTTAATTGATCTCATGCTGGGGAACCTCTGCATTTAATCCATCCCCTTGGGGAGCAGTGTGGGGTTAAGGGTCTTGCTCAGGTATCCAGAGTGGCAGTCCATGGGAGTAAGACTTGAACTGTGAACGTCTGGATTCTAAGCGCAATGCCCTAACCACTAGGTCACAAAGCCCCTCATACATAAAAAAAAATAATCTACGTCTAAAGAAAAGAAAAACGCTGTAATAAACGCTGTGGGACAGTTTCTATGGTGACTGAGGCAGAGAGGTGATTCTCAGAGAGAACTGGGAAGTTTATCCAAGTTTTCTTTACATTAAAATGGTGCAATAGAGCCAATATCATAGTTGGGGATTGCAGTATCCCCGTGTCAAAAATCTATTTCTAAATATAAGAAGAGGAAACAGAATGGAAATTTGTTTGAATCACCCTTAGAACTACCAAACAAAGAACACCATAAACAGAGAAGCTTTTAAAGAGGGAACGAGTCACTTTAATCGTTTAAGTTCACATAGACAGAGTGGAGACATAAAACCTTTCATTTTAGGCACTTAACCAAATCAAGTAACTTAAAGTCCAGAACACAATGAATACGATTTTGCATCTGATCCGACAGGAAATCCTCTTGAACGAGGTTGTGGCGTTTACCACTCGAGAGTCAATGGGGATGATTTCCTGCAGGGGGCAGCGTAGCTCACACTGAGATAGAACCCAGGGCTATTTTAGTCTGAGCTACACAGCAATTCAGCTGCAATTTCATGCGTCTCACAGGAAGAGAGACGTGGTTACAAAGTAAAATACATCCGCTTTGAGGGAAAATACAAAATAAAATCTGTTAATCCCAAGGAGAAGTCAGTCATGAGTCGCACATCGCGTTTATAGTAAGCAGGACAGACTGGAGCAAAAACAATGAATATAACAGTAAAAATGGATAAAGTAGTGATCCTCTTTGAGCCTCACAGAAACCAGAATAAGGAGGAGCAGACAGAGCAGGTCAGCGCAGCGTATCTCTCTCACCTCTTTATGGAAAAAAGAAAGAAAAACTTGGATAAACTTCCCAGATCTCTCTGAGAATCACCTCTCTGTCTCAGTCACCATAGAAACCGTCCCACAGTTTCTCTTTATGTTTTTAATAGATGAACATTCTCCATCTGTTCTGATTCTAGATGCTGCACAGACTCGATAAGTAGAGCTTTGCTTTATAGAATGAGCCAGTGGTTTTTATTTAACTTTTCATAAGCCAGTCAAATGTGGGAATTGTTTTAATGTGTGTATAGAACAGAAATAGAGAGACAGAAATGGAAATAATCTGCACAGATCTGCTCACCCTGTCTAGTCGGAGCCTCTATATGCAGTCAGAGTGACGTGGAAAAAAATCAGATCGGAGATTAAAAAGTAGGATGCAACCAATAAGTTCAGGCCTTAAGATGTAATATGCCAGCTTCATTAAATGGATTATAGTTTATATATTTAAACATAAGAAATTATACTGACAATTATGATCTTTCACTGATTAGAGACCAAAATAAAGCTGGAAGTGGAGCACTCAGTTTATGTTAAAATACATATTTTTTAAAAATATATCGCATGATTCCTAAAACGTGGAAATAAAACAGTTGAAATAATAATCGTAAATTCTCCAGTTCAGAATAACCATAGCAACTGTATTGAGGTTATTGATGACAAATTCATATTTCAATTGGTCACATACTGGATAGGTCCGCTCCTTTAGTGAGTGGCCGTTGATAGCTAACAGGACATCTCCCTCCTGGATTCGGCCACATTGCTCTGCAGGCTGGCCAGGGAAGAGCTGCTTTATCCGGACCAAGCTGCTGAAGTCCTTGGTGGGGGGGTCCAGCTCACACATTAGGAAACTAAATCCCAGTCCGTCCGCATCCTTGGTCAGAGTCACCTCAATGACGTTTTCTTGGAGAAGGATGCAGGACAGGGAAGTAATGGCAACGAAGGTAAAGGTTATGTGGAAGATTTGAAAAGAAAACAAAGACAGAGGTGAGAAAAAGACAGAAGGAATCCAAACAAGCTGGAAGATGAACGTACAGCAACAAACGATCAAATTCCTGCCACCAGTCATTAGGGGTGGAACGGTTCACAAAATCCACGGTTCGGTTCGGTTCACGGTTTCGAGGTCACGGTTTTCAGTTCGGTATATGTTTATTGTTACACCTAAAAATAAAAAAATTAATAAAAATTATAAAAATTAATGAAAAAATAAAAATTCATTAAATTAATGAAAAAAATCCCCAAAAATTAATGAATTGTAATTATTTTTAATGATCAGTGGAAACCCTGGATCATTTCCGTATGTTTTGCTGCTTTGAATTTAATCATTTCACGTATGCTCTCTACCATCTCCAAGGGACTCAGAGGGGAGCGGACGAAGCCACAGTGGGGGCTGTAGGCTTTGCTTTGAGCAGCCAGTCTGGAGCGCAGCGGGGGTTGCTGTTGGAGTATGAGGGATTTCAGGGTTAGCATGACATGTTGGTAATCTTGCTGTTAGCATAAACAAAACGTGTTGCACAATGCTTGCACACTTTTATCCACAACTTTCTTTCCGCCGTCATCGTAGGTCACTCTAAATGCAAAGTGGTCCCATACAGCAGACCTATAAAGTGCTGCTGGCGCGTCTTCCAACTCCTGTTCTTTCCCACTCGCCATACCCACACAATTCTCCACAACAACTGATTTTTTTCTGCTACACCCGGCTAAGCTGCTTCGCTTCTTCTTCTTCTTGTTTACTACTGGTGGTTGGCTTTGGTCGCAGTAGCGCCACCTTCTGCTCTGGAGTGTAAACGCTTCGACCATGAGAAAAAGGAGCAGCGCATGAACCGAACGCAACACACCCGAACCGAACCGAGACAGTCGAACCGAACGGTTCGGACAATTTTCAAAAACCGTTCCATCCCTACCAGTCATGTTTCGTCTTGTTTTCGTTACAACCAGACTTGAATTTATGTCACTTCCCACTAATAGGGACAAAAATTACTTTAAAACAAAACAAAAAAATCAAAGGGATAGCTCAGGATATATAAAGTGAGTTTCTGTTATTTAATCATTCTATTAATCATAACTAATCAATTGATGAACTATTAAAAAAATGAAAGTGTAAAATAAGAAACAAGGAACAGCATAGTTAATAAATAAGACCTACAGAGCGGCAATCTTCACTACAAGCCAATCCTTAGAAATCTGCACTTCCACTATTTTGTATGTCAGTATGTTTTTTGACAAACTTCTCCTTCTTTCCCATCGCCCGGCTTGCCACAGGTTTGCCTGCTGTGTCTAAAAGTAGCAGCAGCAGAAACCCAGACTGACAGCAGCTCATTGGATCATTTGGATCATGTGCAGCCTGGAGCCGGATGCTCCGGAGGGCTTTACCGTATTAACAGGAGAAGCGGCGCAAATTAAGTTAGACATTGTCGTCAGACAACATGCAGTAATTTATTATTGTTTTAAATCAGGTTGGGTCTGGATTAGCCAGCAGGTGGGTCCGGATCCGGACCGCTAATCCATGACCTCTGACCTAGTTGAGCGCATCTAGCGATCTTTCCCAACCTTAAAAACCTTAAAAAATGCGACCTGGCCGTTCAGACACAGGTAACATTTGAAAAGATCAGATTCATATCGGATTCAGGACCACAGAGCCCGGTGGCGTGGGTCGCATTGGGACAAATCGGATCTAAATTGTTCAGACAACCATGAAAACATCAGATACAGCTCGCATATGGGCAAGAAAAATTTGGGTCACTTCAGGCTGCTGTGTGAACGTAGCCATAGTGTCTGATTTACATGCAAAATCTATGGGGGACAGTATGAAGAGGTCCAGTGGCCCGTTCAAGCATCGGGAGCGGAGCGTGCAAGAGTTCTGACATCCGAGAGTCATAGCTTCAGACGCTGGAGCTCAGTACATTTTACATTTGCCGCTGGACGCCGGAGCATCAACCAATCAGAGAAGCTGATCCAGGAGTTTTTGGGGGGAGACAGACACTACCTTCCAGCTGTCACTGACATTCTGCATATGAAAAATAAATAAATATCAAGAAGTTAAACTCCAAAGGTTTAAAAGAAAAGAAAGCAGGAATAATGGATTGTTATGTAGTAGGAACAGAGAGCAGCTCTGATTATTATTGCTGCACTAAAACATTTTTTATGAACTATGATGTAACAGTTTATAAATACCCAAATTAACTAGAAATGTTAAAATCTGCTTATGCATGCATGTATATCCTGGTTCTTGCAGGTTTTACCACAAACCTTAAAAACTCTATCCACTCCCAGCCGCTACGAACGGCAGCAGGAAATCCGCCACAGGCTGGCTGCATCAGAGAGCTTTTAGCGGGGATTTCAGGTCTGGCGCTCCCAAGAACTGCAGATTATAGTGGGATTATAATCCTGATGAACTGATGAACAAAAGATGTTTGGAGGTGGACTTTTTCGCTTAAAAATCTGTTAAAACTATTTTTCCAGCTCATAAAGTAAAAAAAGCTGAGCTGCTCTCTAGTTGGAAGCTACAGAACAGAGCAGATAAGCAACCAGAGTGCTGAGCAGCAAAGCAACTGGACCACATTTTGATCCAACGTCCAGATTTTAGCGTTTAATGCTACATTCGGACCCCAGGCACAACAGGCAGCAAAAAAAGCTAGTTCACATGCAAAGTTAATGGTTGACGCTCATCTGAGCAGCTGAAGCAGCGCGTCATGATTTTCTGAGCATTTGAGGTGCAGGAAAAATATAACTTTAGCTGCTGGACGTGCCGCATCTCCAAATCAGAGAAGCTGATCTGGGAGCTGGCAGGGAGACAGACACAGCACTGCTGATGCAGAGCTCTGTGATCACTCCTCTGAAACAGTTTATTAATGCCTAAATTAACTTAAAATATAGAAACCTGCCAGCAGAATATGTTCGCAGTTTGGATAAGGTACGTGAAAAACGCCTTACAGCCGCCATGAAGAGTAGCGGAGCAGATCTGTAGGTTCCAGATCTGCACTGGGCCCTGCTCCTGCTGATGACATTACAATATGGCAACTTTAGTTGTACAAACCGTTTTATAAGATCAAATCTCTTCTGGGGTCTAAACATTTTATTATCTATATTTGCTATTATTTTACATTTTATTTGGCAATCTAAAGTAGCCGAAAGTGGAAAACAATAATTCCCAGTCTTGAAGGAAAGTCCTGCAGTCTAAAGCTACGTTCACAAAAAAAGCATTTTGAGCGTCAAAAACACGCTATGTTCAGACAGCAAGCGCTGGAAGAAGCAAAGGAGCTTCTGCTGCTTCATCTCTGACCCATATTAAGGTCAGCCATCCAGTAAAGTGTGTCCAGATGCATCTGATGCTTCTGCTGCTCCTGTGTTCAATGCCAGAGAGCAGCTTTGCTATATTTGCTGTGATCAGCGGGTAAAAAGTAGTTAGAATCTATGTTGAAGTGAGACAGTCCTCCTGAAAACATGGTCTGTGCAGTCAGTTCATCTAGATTACCATCCTGCCTTCAAAGATTATTTCTCTGTGGGAGCCGCTCAGACCCCCACATACCGGCGGTGCGCTGTCACTGGGAATCCCCAGCAGCAGCTGCCTCAGGCCCGCTCGCCTCTTGACCCTACTGTTAATGCCGGCTGGAAGTAGATGTTAGTGTTTTTCAGGTCTGTGCTACAAACTGCAGGCACCAGGATAACAAAATCGAACATATTCTGCTGGCAGGTTTCTACATTTTAAGTTAATTTAGGCGTTAATAAACTCTTTCATAGGAGTGATCACAGCGCTGTCTATCCCCCTGCCAACTACCAGATCAGCTTCTCTTATTGGTTGATGTGGCGCGTCCAGCAACAAAAGTTAAAATTTTCCAACTCCAGCAGCTGCTGCTTCTGAAGCGCATTGCGCAAGTCAGATGCTCAGAGGCTGGTGAGGCGCTGCTTCAGCTGCTCAGACGTGCTGCAGGACCTTTTGCTGCACCTTTATGCACATCAACTATTGACTTTGCATGTAAACTGGCTACTTCTGCTGCCTCTGCTGCTTGGGGTCTGAACGTAGCATTAGACTGCTGGAGGACATAGGGACCCCTGTTTCATCATTCTGCTTCATTCTATCTCTATTCTCCCCGTCTGCAGAATCTGTTAGTTCAATCTCTAACGTTCTGCTCTCTCTGCTTTTTCTCATAGTAGCTTCATCTGGTCTGTTCCTGTTTGGCTGTGACTCCATCCTGGAGAGAAATATCAGCTGTGCTGCTGCCATCAACACCTTTGTTTCTAGATGTTGGAGCTCGGCCTGTTTTCCAGTGTAGTCCTGTTTCTCTGACTAACTGGATGTGCTCTCTTCATCCTCTGACATGGGAGCTGGCTCAGAGCTCGTCTGCCTGGCTGTGTGTTTCCTGGACGGGGCCGCCTGTGGAGCTGGTTGACAGTTGCATTTTGTATGTCTGCTTCTTTTTCATTGTCCCTTAACCCTGTCCCTTGTTAGGGCGACAGTGGTGTCAGATGTAGGAGTTTTCCATGAATTCGAATGGCTGACGGTTCAAGGCATTCTGGCTTTCAGTGTCGTTGTGTCCTTGGGCAAGACACTTTACCCATATTGTCTACTGATGGTGGTCAGAGGGCCCGGTGGCGCCAGTGTATGGCAGCTTCTTCTGTCAGTGAGCCCCAGATCAGCTGTGGCTACATGTAGTGTGTGAGTGTGGTCGTGAATGACTGAATATGGTGTAGAGCACTTTGGCCAAGTCCTCTGACTTAAAATTAAATAATCAAATGTGTCTGTTAATTAACTCATTACAAAAAATAAAATTTAAAGATTTAATGTTATTATTGAAAAGGCATATTTATTTAATGGCACATCAAATTATGTAACTTTATAATTTAATGGTACATTTCATGGTTTATTTCTGTATTTAATAAATAAGTGGTACATTTAATCATTTAAAGGCACATTTATTTATTTTTATTTTACATTTCATTATTCATTTTATTTACATTTATCTATTTCATGACTTGCTTATTTATTTCATTTTGTCCCCTTAACCCTTTCTATCTTGGAGGCTTCTCTACGGCCTAGTCAAAGTCTGGACCTCAGCCTGAGAACTGCTCTGAAATATAAGCCACACACCTTCATTTACTATGGAAAGAAGAGCTGTTCGGTTTTTTTCAATAATATGGACCAGTCAGCTGCTGGTTTCCTATAACTGTAATTTTAAAGGGAAAAACAAACATTTTTAGTGCATTTTTCTTCTGTCCAATCAGTTCAGCAGCTCCAGCCTGCGGTTAGATGTCCTACCATCAGTGACGAAGCTGTAGTCCCTGGAGCTGTCAGGCCTGGTTCTTGCTGGGGAGCCGACGGACGAGGAGCTGTTGAGTCTCAGGTGGCTCCTGGTCTGACTGACTTTCTGACTGGACAGCGGGCGGTCGGCGTCCGGAACCACGGACACTTTGGGCAGGTTGACTGACTCCCGCTCCACAACAAAGTAAACCACCTGGATGATGAAAGAACAGCACATTTATATTCGAAGAGATAGAAGAAACAAAGGAAGATGTGTCTTTTGATTCTGTTTTTTTTCACAGGTTTTCTTTTAGCTCTGCATTTTAAATGAAAAGTGAGACTGGAAAGCTGTTTGATAGATCAGGTTTGTAGTCAGGAAAACATGGGATACCTGCCTTGGGCCAGTCTGAGGCTCAGGTGGAAGAGATTAAGCACATTGGTACCTTTTTGAAAGTGATTTATTATTTAGGAGGCAAAGGGACCGTTAGCAGTTTGTTAGCAGTTTGAGTTTTGCTCAGCCTTTCTCTATGAAGAAAAAGATGAGGTACCAGTCATGACTGTCCACTAGAGACTGACATTTTTTCGGGAATCCCACAGGTCATGGTATTCCCGTGGGATGGGAGTCAGTATTAGTAACGATCACGTGATTGGGACGGTACAGGATTAAACATTAACGCGAGCAGATGGGAGCGGGAGCAAACCAATAGTAACAAAAAAAAACTAGGATCGATGCCAAAAAATAAAATAAAATAGAAAGAAAAAAAATCCAGTACTGGCGCCGCCGTTTTGTAGTTTTTTTCCTTGAAGCCTACACTATAATGCGAGTCAAAAAAACTACAGGACCCAAAAACCAACAGTGCTTCCGCTCTGAGTTTTTCACCCGCGCTCAAAAACAACAATTGTGGGACCAACAGTTAGTGGCGAACTCGACTTCGGAAAGTTTGATTGTTTTGATTGTTTATTCACCTAAGATTAGCATGGTCTGTTTCCTTGTTTGTTAAATTAATTATGTATTTATAATTATTATTCCTTTTACTTTAACTAACCTTTACTAGAGTTAGAAACAGTAACTTAACTGACCCTTCATAGAAATTCAGATTAATGTATTGGCAGAAATCTTATTGAAGACAACAAGAATGGGAGTGGTGCAGGAGCGGGAGTCATTCTGAATGGGAGCGGGATGGGAGTGGGAGTAATTTCACCAGGAGTGGGACGGGACAGGATTTAGATTTCTACTCTGGCCCGGGATCGGGACGGGACACAATTTTTTCTGTGGGAGTGGGACGGGACAGGAGTGAAAATCCACTCTTGGTCAGTCTCTACTGTCCACTGTACTGGTGGAGGTTAGACTCCAAAACTTTAACAGACCATTGCTAAACTGGTTAGATTTAACAAAAAGCCTTATATTCTGCAATGGTTTTCAAAATGAGCCTTCAAAACATCGACAGCTTTGGAACATCTAACAATCATCCCCATAGAGCAGCACTCAGATCAGATGCTGTGCTTTACCTCCCCAGTTTTACCCAGACTTTCCACAGCCTGCTGGTAGCTGAAGCCATGAAAATTGATCCCGTCAACTTCCAAAATTCGATCACCTGTAAAGTAAAAGATCGATTAACAAGCAGATTTTGATATAAAAGTATATCTCCGATCGCAAGGCAAAGTAGTCTAAAATATTGTCATTTGTTCAATGTTCATATGTTCTTTCATATGCATTTGCCTGCCTAGGGACTACAGATGAAAACTAGCTTTGTAGCTATAATCTGGCATATTTACATTTGTTTTTATACTGATGTTCATTAATGTGCTTTGTCCCTTTTCAAATAAATAAATAAATACATTTTCTCAAGTTAAATATTATCCTTTTTTTCTTTCCAATATAAGGCCTTAAAATTGCCCGACATGTAAAATGAGTTTCCATTCATTGATCTCAGTTCTGTAGAGAAACATTCCATCTCTTCAGCAGCAAGAGAATAAAGGCGACACTTTTTTTAAAGATGGATTACAGAAGAACACCTCATGATGTGTAATGCTATATCATTAAGCCAGGCATACACTGTACGATTTTTTTGCCCTTTTCGGGCCGATTCTTCAGTCATGCCAGAATTTTCCGATCAGCCTGATTGTGCGTCGTGGTACAGGGGTAACGACGGGCAATCAGCAGTGATGTTTTCGTCAACGATGAGGATGACGAAATAATTTCGTCAAAGTTCTAACTTTCATAACAATTACGAAAACTAAAGAGCTAAACATGGATCTTTGATGACTAAAACATGACGAGTCATAGGTTTGAGTTTTCCTCAACGAGACCAGACTAAATAAAAAATAGCGGTTCGACAGTCAGACGTTTAAAATCCATTATTGTGCTGTAATCTTCTAGAAAAGCTTAGCAGCATCAGCCGTGCAGCTGCGTCCCGTTTTATGCCGCCCACCTGCCACACAGCGTTGCACATGATGCAGGAGCACAGAAAGATCATGGCAGCAGCGGCTGAGAAAATAACCCGGATTGGTCCGGTACTGTGCCCTGAACTCTGACAAACTGCTCTGATCTTCCCTCTGTGCTTTTGGAGAAATTCATCTTTGTGTGCAGAGGTCAGAGTCTTCGCATTACACTCCACTCTGATGGTTCACTCTCAGCAGTATGGCACTTCTTGCTCTCGCTACTTAATAAACTATATGTGGCTGATCATCCTCTGCCAAGCTTAAAATATCCCTTTGTCTAACTATTAAGATTTTATTTCTTCCAGCTCACAAGAGGTGATGCTAAACATTCTTTAATTTCTTCGCTTATAATACCTAAATTATATCCAAAGCAAATATTTCATTGCAGTTTGACCCAGATACAAAAGTACATAGATCTTCTCTATTCTATCTATTTAAGTATGATGTAAATGTTTCCTTGTATTGTCATTAAAACATTTTAGTTAACATATTCATTCAATTTAGGTCTGGGTTGCCATGGCATTACAAGGCAATTATGTAGGTTCTCTGTGCAGTTTTCTACATCAAAAGTCTGTGAGTTTAAATCTTCTTTGACCCCTGAGCAGCAGGAACTGAAGCGTAAATTAAAGAAATAAAGCCAAATTTGCCAAAGTAGAAAGAAGAATGTTTTTGTTCTTTGCTTTTTTGGAGCAATGCAGATTTTATTGATTTGTGTTTAAAGCATATTTCATAGTAGATCAGGAAGTGTTTGCTTTGGGATGGAAACATTTTATGTTTAAAACCATTCATTTATTGTACATTCTGTCCTCTTGTCCGTCTGCTATAATAACGAACATGATGTGTTGAACTAGATCTGCTATTTTCACAAGTTATGTGAGACTTTTTTTTTTTATATAGTAGAGCATTAATTCATAAAAAAAACTTTATTTGAATACTATAAATTAAAGTTTTCTGCCCGGCAGGATTCTATACCCAGCTATTACAGCATCTAGGGTAGAGCTGTCAGTCTGGTTGAAAGATCTGGTTGTTATTCCAAATTGTAAAGGTTTAATTTTTTTTTTACAGTTTTTTCACCATAAACTTATTCAGACATCCAGTTTATCTATGATACCTTTGTGTAGACATCCGTCCCTCTCTGCTGCCCCTCCTGGAACGAGGCTCTTTATGTAGATTCCACCAGCTTGAACGTTCGTGTTTACTCCACCCTGGATAGTTGAGTAAAGAATTACATGCATCTACTATCTACACGCTCCCACTAACTCACATCATAATAACCTGCAGATGACACACAGCTCATTTCTCTTTTTCTATTCAGTTTTACTAATTGAATTTTTTAATGTTGCCATTTACAGATAATTATTTTCCCTTTTGGGGGCGGGCTTTCCTCTGGACTGAGGAGCAACGACGCATTTCCATTGGTCTGCAGGACCTTAGCAACAACATTTTATTGGTCATGAATTAACATTTGGATTGAGCTGGAAGTGAAGAGAATGAAATCTGGAAAGTACAATTTGAATGCACTGCAATCATTAGAATTCAATCTGAAAAATAGAAATACAACATAAATATCAGACATCCCAAGAGATGCAGAGACAAAAAGCAAACCCAGAGTTTACATGTTACAGCTGTGGCCAGAAGGGACACAAAGTGTTACAATATCCGACAAACTATAAAGGACAAAGGCAATGGTGAAGTTTCTGTATAAACTCCAGTCACAAAGAGAGTAATTGTTGAAAAAAGAAAGTGTGAAACTGTTGGGATCTGGAGATCTGCCCACCTTTCTCCAGCAGAGGGCGCCCTAGGTCTCCTGGAGCTGAAGCTGACTACCACACCTGCGGCTGATTTGCTCATCAGGAGGAGCAGCATATAAGCAGCGGCAGAACTACTCTTCAGTGCCAGAGTGTTAAGCTAGCTACGGTTAGCAAGCCTGAGCCAACCAGCCTGCCTGATTCTCTGACTCCCAGAAAACCTGACTTGAACCTAACTAGTTTTCTGTCCTCTCTGCTTCCTAGTAAGAATCTGACTGAGACCCTGGAGCTCTGGAAGAGCTACTCAACTGAAACCTGCCTGCCTGCTCTCAGTAACAAACCTGAAGATCAAACTGTCTGGATCTGCCTCCCATCCTTCAAGAAGTAACTTGAAGAAGCTCTTAACACTCACAGCCTGAAGCTAAGTCCTGTCGCAGCCAAGCCCTCTGCCAACGATCAGTCTCTAGACCCTCCTGGTTCCCTCCCTCTGCCGCTCAGCCAGAATCTCTGAACAGGTACAGATCTGCACATTCTCTCAGCTACCTGATCATTAGCTGCCTGGCTAACCTAACTGTCCCTCTCTGCAGAGAGACCTTGTGTGACCAGTCCCGGATCTGATTCCAGCATCTGTCATCTAACCTTGTGTTTATCATTGATTCCAGAATCTGTGAAACAACCTTGTGCAAACCCTTAATAAATTGTTAAACTTTACTCTGACTCCTGGGTGTTCTGCATGTGGGTTAGAAACCTGAATCCCAACATGACAGAAACAGGCTGTCGAAGGGAATGATCACTCATTTGTTTTCCAGATAACCAACAGCCAGATCAGGGGCTTGAAACAAAGAAGACTGATGGTGGACACCAGTGCAACGTCTCACGTTATCAATGATCTGAACAAGTTTAAAAAGTTGGATGATAAATTTGGACCGGAGGAACACTTCGTGGAGCTTGCTGATGGGACGAGGACTAGTGGTGTGTGTGTGTATATATATATATATATAAAAATAGGGGAGTGCTGGCCTAGTGGTTAGAGCAGTGCGCTTGTGCTCTGAGAAGGTTACAAATGTTAGATCCCCACTGCCTCCACTCCTTTCTCAGGAGTGGAGGCAGTGGGGAGTGGGGATCTAACCCCACACTGCTATCTGGGCGCTGCACAATGATGGCAGCCCACCGCTCCCCATAGGGGATGGGTTAAATACAGAGAGAAATTTATCCAGAGTGAGATCAATAAAGTTTAGTTATTATTATTATGATATGCATTGCTTTACTTAACTATTTGAAACATTGAGTCATTTAATTTATTTAGCACTACATTAGGGTAAGTAAAGCGGCTATAAGATTAAGATTATTGTATACAGAATACAGATAATTTTCTTATAATAGATGACCAAACGAGTCTTTTAGGACTCCCTTATAATTTAAAAGGACAAAATAACTTAAATCATCAGCCGTTTTGATTCCAAAGCAATATAAACATTTGTCATTGGTGTTAATGTCCTTGTTATAAACTCCCAGTTTAGATGAGCTAACTCTTGTCATCCTCGTCTAATCCTGTCAGATTGCAGATGTCAATCAGCTTAAGTGGAATCGTCTTTACGCCCCACTGCTGCAGATCAGGTTGCCGTCATAGTTAACAGTTCATGGCCAGTGTTTAAAATGTTCCTGTTCGTTGGTAAATCAAGCAGAGAAGAACCCCTGAAAGTTTCATCCTATCAGGGAAAACTCACAGAGATGCTGATGCCCAGACTTCCTGATATCTTCCTGAGCTCCACGGCGATTTCCTCTGGCCTCACGGAGTTCATAGACGGAGACAGAGGGCAGCCATCCTAACACAAAGACAACATGAAGACCTTTTTCATTACATTGTGTATTAACCCCTTAAAACCCACCTGATCGCCGGCGGTTGTTATAGCGAGCGCACCTCCTACTGACACCTCCCAACAAACAATGGTGACAAATTGTATTAAATAAACTACAAATCCCAAACTTCTTACTGAGTCATACTTTTTACTTAGAGCTTATTGGTCCCTAAAGGGAACATTGTCATTAATTTAATTGTTTTTCTTTCAGGGACTATAACAGTATCAACCATCGGATCTTTGTGTTGCTCCAGGAAGCAATATATGCTCTAACCACAGGCAGCTCCAATCTGGTTCCTTAACCATAAGTTGTGGTCATTTCAAACTTTAAAAAAAAATAATAATAATATGGAAGTTTTGTTGTCATTGTAAAAAAAGTATAATAATATTTTGCCTGGCAGCATCTCTCCAACAGCTATTTGTGTCAGGGTTTCGTTGTGGTTTGAGGACCCTAAATGCAGAGGCAGAGAGGCTGAGGAGATTTCTTGCAGTTTAATGGGCCAAATAGTAAACAAAGGCATGAATGCAAAAATCCAACTAATAATCAAAAGCAAACCAGAACTATGGAGACATCTGGGGAAACCAAACATGAGGAGCCAGGGACAGACGAGGTAGGTGGACAACAACATGGGAGGACAGCAAAGACAAAGAACCAACAAAGAGTGAGAGCAGAGGGTGAGCATATATAGCTGACAGAGACAAAGGGAGGGCTAACGAGTTGACAAGGAGCAGGTGTGAGAGGAGACAACGAGGGAGCCAAGGGGAAAGGAACACACATACACTAGAGCAGTGTTTTTCAATCCTGGTCCTCAAGGCACCCTGCCCTGCATGATTTAGCTGTTTCCCAGCTGTCACACACCTATTATCAATTGATAGCAGATTATCAGGCTTTGCTGAACTGCAATCATCTGAATCAGGTGTGCTGAACCTCAGAAACATCCAAAACATGCAGAGCAGTGTGCCTTGAGGACCAGGGTTGAAAAACACTGCACTAGAGGGCAACAGAGGACAACAGAAAAACATGAGAACTAACATAAATCTAGAAATTAAAACAAAACAGCAATTAAACCAATAAAACTAGGAAACATAGAGCAAAGTAAAGCACAATAGCAACAAGACCATGACAATTTGGACTGTTAAAAAGGAACAATCTGCCTCTAACTCAAAAGCCACCTCCAAAGGTGTTTTTTTTTTCCACACTTCAAAACAAAAACAAGAAAGTGAGTAAAACTTTCACTTGTTGAAATAACCTACAACTTAAAGATATAAGTTCTGGCAACTCACTAAATAATGTTAAAGATTACAATTACTTTGGGGTTAAGGTGCAGCTTAGGCTTTAACAAGAAGAAAGGTCAGTCATTCCAGCCCTTTGAAATCTCTTGTTGATCGTGGTGTTTTCACACCGCTGTCAGAATCCGCTGGCAGATGTGGGGAAAACTTGCTTTTCGCATGCGACCAGAGGTGTCAAGTAGTACAAATACTTTGTCACTGTACTTAAGTACCCTTTTTACGTATCTATACTTTACTCCATTACTTATTCTTCTTCCTTCTTCTGACTTCTACTCATTACATTTTCACACAAGTATCTTTACTTTCTATTCCTTACATTTTTAAAACAAACATTACTCGTTACTCTTGGCTTCAGTTTCATGTTTCTAATAATTTATTTCCCGTCATGTGCGCCATCCAATGCAGATCATTGGCTCCATCCACATCTAGTGGAAACTAGTGTAATTGGATGAGTCATATAACGCAAACACTCATTGGTTAGCTAAAGGAAATCATCAGAAGCAAGCAGGTGTTCTTTAAACTGCTAACGTGAATTGTCTATACTATGCTACAATGTGGGATTCAGAAAAAGATGTTGAAATGTGTGAAAGGTCGGACACAGGCGAGAGCGTATCGGGAGACGGAGACCAACAAGACCTCCCTCATCCTTTGCCCTATCTCAAAGAATTTTTCTAAACAGTCCAAAAATTAAGCTTTTAATTCATATAACGGCATCTGGCTGTTTTTTTAAAGGTTACTTTATACTTTTATACTTTAAGTAGTTTTTGGAGGACATACTTTTTCACTTTTACTTGAGTAAAGAGGTCAAGTTGATACTTCAACTTTTACCAGAGTGTTTTTAAACTGCAGTATCTATACTTCTATTGAAGTAACAAATGTGGGTAATTTTGACACCACTGCATGCAACCAGTTTTGGTGATATTCCACGCCTTCCACTGAACGCGTAGTGCTACTTTGAACACTCGATTCACACTGATGTGGAGGAGCTGCAGTTGCTTCTTTTTCTCACTAAATCATACGGCACTACTTTACCTGATGGACGGACATGTCCATTCATTTCCTTGTATACTGTGTGTCTGATCACATGCCCTTCTGCCAGGCAAAGTAGTGCTGTACAACAGCGGAAAAAAACAAAACAAATCCTCTTACAGTATCACAAAAAATATATGAAAAATCCATAGCAAACCTGATTTTTGTCTAATCTATTTACTTTCCGGATCGAAATTTGATGCAAAAATGGGTGCTTCGGATGATTAAATCCTTTTCCCGATTCAAAGCCATTCCTACAATTGGCAGCAGTACAGCAGACCAGTGTAATGATGTTTTAATGATCCTTTTGGAGGGCTTAACAATGCATGAAATAGTGGTTCTATAAACCCGCCGGAGGACGTTTGACTCCACTGACGTCACAGCTGGATTACATCACACGACTGATATAGAGGCGCCCAGCATACTGTAAAATTCTCTTGATTTTATTACTTGGAGTATTTTTTAGCACAATTTAGACATAGAGAAAAGAAAGGATAATCTACCATCACACATGAGAAAACTGATCTAGATGAACTCCTTTCTATTTGAACTTTAAGAGTTAAACAGAGAAGAGAGCTGGAAAAGAAAAGATGGAAAGGGAGGAATACCGAGAAGACAGAATGACTAGATGGCACTAATAAACACTATTGATTGATACATTTTTATTAATCTTAGGAAATACTAACAGTAAGGAGAGGCACATTCCTGGATTTTACACTTAAATTTTACTTTTTAAATATTAATACATATGTAAAAATAGATAAAATCATCACTGTCCCGGTTACCTATTTTATTTTGATGATATATTTTTCCTACCGAGCGACAACTGGTTTAAAAGACAATGAAAAGACGACATGATATATGTCCAAAAGTCTACATTTGGTTGAAAATTTCAGATAATTGCAAAGAGGTTGAAAACCCATCATTTCACATTGTTTTCTGGATGTGTAATTTCATTTTAACCACCAAAGTAATTTACCTGTACAATGTACTCTGTTTAAAGAAAGAGGGAATTTTTAGAAGTGCTTAACCACATGTTAAACAGGGGTGCCAGTAATTGTGGCGGGCACTGTAGGCACTTTTCTTGACACTCATTTGATATAAGGTAATGTTACATCCCCAAGATGGAAGCTGTTTTGTTCTTGCATCCAATTAACACCTTGCTGTCTTTCTGGCTCCGCCTTTAAAACTGGCTGCTGCTTTCTGAGTCTCAGGCCAATCAAGATTACCTGAAGACTATTAAAGGCATATGAAGCAGTACTTCAGGGTTTTTTGAGCCATTTGTCTGCCGTACACCTCTGGGTTAATTGTACTAAAGGGGCTGTTGAGATTGCGACCATGTAAACCTGTTTGGATGTTTTTTGTAGGGGTGAGCTGCCCTTTTGTTTAACCCCAGTTTTCTCCTGTTTATGTGTTGGTTAGGTAGGATATTTTGTTAGTCAGGTAAGTCCACTTTTCTTTTTTCTTTAGGGTTGTTTTGTTATTTATCTTGGCCTGGGCTCTCCCTGAAGCCTTTACTGTCTAAATTTATGTTGGTCCCTTACACCCCTTAGACTCAGCCAGGGGACGTACCAGGTGACATGGAAACTCAAGGTCACCTTACGTCGAACATAAAAACAGGCTTGTTAAATAGGGTGACCAAATGTCCGTATTTCCCAGGACATGTCCGTATTTCACGTCCTGTCCCGGGCATCCCGGGTTTTTTTTAGAAAGTAAGGAAATGTCCTGATTTTTTAAACTACCTTCATTGGAGCATTAAATTTACAGGCACTAGGGCACTGCACACGGCGCTGCGTGTGACATACTGTAATCCCCGAGCCGCGTCAGTGCTGGCAGCCCTGCTCTTAATCAGAATATAGATTGCATGGCTGTCAGTACGCCAACAACATGCAAAGGCACAAATGTGTGTTTACCAATGATTTACAAAAGAGTTTCCCCGCTTTCAGACCAGGTCGAGACAAATGGCCTTGTGCACATATGTCTCGGTGTCCAATGGAGGTGCAAGGGATCTGAAAAGCCACCTGGACTCTGAAAGTAAAGATAGTCTATTGATATGTTTGTTCGTTTTTGATGCATTTTGAATAATTTTTGCTACACAAGAGGTATTTTTTTGTTAATTATAGCTAGTTAATAATAGCCTACAGAACAGACATTATTTCCTTCATTGCTGAGGCTGAGTATCATCTGTTATTGGGAGTTGAGAGTTATTGTTAACTTTTATTGTTAAGTGAGGGATGTTTAGATGAGACATTATTTCTTTCTTTGTGATATTCAGTCATTACAGGAGTTGTTAAGCATTTTTAATAAATACATTTTGAATAAAATTATAATTTGTTATTGGAGTTATTGCTGTTGACTTTTACTGAAAAGCATTTTTGATAAATCAACTGTAAATATCATGTTATTGTAGGATTACCTAGGCCTATGTTAAGTGAGTGCATGTCTGTGGCATATCTTTGCATGGGAACAGAGACCCCACCCCCCCGCTCCAAGGTCCTGGTTTTACCAAATGAAAATATGGTCACCCTATGTTAAAAAATAAGAAAAAAAACTGATGAAGCCATCAAGGTCATAGTCATTCTTCTGTTCCCCTGTAAAGGGGGTTGCGATGATGGGTTCCCACTATCAACTCAGCCCCAACACCTTTACAGGGGAATAGAAGATCTCGCCTGTTAAGCCAGTCCAACAATTCCCTCTAACGACCCCCCTTTCAGAGACATAGACAGGTATGGGGCATTGCAGGCTAACAAAGAAGCCAAACGACCCCCATTCCAAAGGGGTGGACCCGTTCATCCATTTCTATTTGCATGTTTTCTAAACAAAAACAAGGCTTTCTTGGGTTACTGTATAAAACCTGGAACTCAACGCTATTTCTGACATTTTGAATTGAAAAATCTTCCTGGATGGAAGAGAAACGTCTTCAAACTTGGGAACAAAGTCCAGTGCATTGTTTTTTAACATTTTTGAAACTTGCTTTTGACATTTTCACGCCCAAATTTTCTCACTGTTGGAAAAAAACAGCATGTCTTTTCTAACATTCTCAACAAACACAACTTGAAAGAAAGAGTTGTTTGTTTGTGCTAGAAAGACGCTACCTGTGAGCTGAGCGCTCGTACGTCTCGTGGGACGAGCAACCTGTTGGAGGCTTTTGGCGTCATCATGACAGAGACAAGCTCATCTAGGCTGTCATCCCCCGAACGTCCGTCTGTCATCAGCGTACTCTGAGACCCGGATTTTCTCAACACAGGAGAGCGAAGACTGATGGGGCTTAATGGGACTGCAGAGAGAGAAACAGCAAAATATTCTTCCCCACATTCATTTCACCACTGAATCTACTCTAATGTTGGTTTTTATAAAATCATGAGCTAAATGTGTTGGTTTGACACAAATGATGTGATGGAGCAATAAAAGGCCTTTAACCTTGTTATGGAGAACAAATGATCATTTGAAAATAAAGAAGAGAGAGTCAACATATTAAGGAAGGCAGCATTCTGACTATGGTCTTATTTATATTTTGGGCCAGCTAGTTATGCTAGTTGGATTAGCAAACTAGGCTATCATTTTTAACGTACAGAACATGAATATTTATTAAACTTGCATCATTATTTATATAAATCTGATAACATTTGTCGAAAAAAAATATTTTCAGAAATAATATTCTCAAGTACCCTTTTCCATTCTTTCATATTATATAAAGTTAAAAGGAAGCTAAACATGCTAACTAAAACCTGATTCATCTCCGTTTTTTTGGGACAGACTGGATTTATTTTTACAGTTAAATGATTTTTAAAAACTTTTTTCTTAGTCATACCATGTGGAATAGTGATTGATAGACTTTTTATGTATATTTGTCTATTTCTCCAAAGCTATGAACATGCTAAGTCTGTCTGGATTAAAAGAGCTACATTTATCTTAGCCAAAATGATTATACAAATCAGTTCATTTTTTTTATTCTTTCTTCCTTGTAAATTTCAATAGAATATTACATCAAAGTAACATACATTTTTCTTATTTATATTGTTTGAAACATACATTTATTCATGGCATTTTTGTGGATGTCCATGTGTCTGATAAATATGCTGACACTTGTTCTTGTCTTTAAATGTAAATCTCTCTAAAGATATTATTTATTATGTCAATTTGACTTTCAGTTAAGTTAGCCTGAGTTGCTATCTTCTTATTATTCAACAGACAAGCTACTCTAAACTGTTAGCAATGCCATCTGGTACTTATTCTATCCGTTACTCTGAAGATATATTTAATTAATGTAATCGTTAAAAGCCTTGTAACCCTTAAGTATATTTTTCATTTGAACTATTTAACATTTTGATTTTCTTACTCATACACACATGGACAAAGTTTTTTGGTATTCCCTGTTTAATGAAAAAAAATGGTACAACGATCACAAAAATACTTTGGATTTACGATAATAAATAAGAATTATGTTGAAAGGAACCAGTGAAAGTCAGACATGCTTTTCAAACATTATTCAAGAGAATGATTTAAAAAAAAAACTCATGAAACAGGCTATGAATACATGAAGCACCTTTTGGCTGAGACACAATAAGCTGCACCTCCTCAGGGCTGCACTCCATGACCTCTGCTGCCTCGCTGAAAGTGACGCCCTCCAGGCTGATGTGGTTCAGGGATATCAGTCGCCCACCTGAGGGCAAAGGTCAACAGAAAGCATGCAGAGCACAGTCGTAGCCTTTTTACATCCATTTATCAAAGGTGTGAACGGATTTGATGATTAAGATTCAAACTTTGCAGCAAAATTACAACTAATGATAAAAAAGCACGTTTTTACTGCAGTTATTCAATGTGGGGTGAATATGTTTATTGTTATAGGCATGTACCTGGTCTGATGCGTCCATCTTTATCCGCTGGTCCTCCAGCCACAATGGAGGCAATAAAAATGCCCAAATCATAGCGGCCTACTGTGTCCTCTCCAACAATCACTATACCTGTGTTGGCACAAGTTACAGAGGAAGCTGAAAACATAAGTTTAGATAAACTATATGAAATGAGATGTTAAGAGTCTTTTTCCATCTGTTTAAATCTGAAAAACTGTTTCCTGTTTTGGTTCAATTGCAATTCACTAAACAATTAGTAGTCATTTAAGGTCTCATATTATATAACAATTAGTCCTCCTGAAAATGTTTTTGCCATTTTGCTAAATGTTTTGCAGAATTTTAAATTAGGCGTACAGCATTTATCTTCAAAATGAGCTGATTTAGCTTCCAATGCCCCTATCCTCCAGAAGGCCACACACACACTACCTGCTACTATGACAACCAGTGAGAGTTCATAATAATGGCGGCTAGGAGATTGGAATAATACAGAAGACCAGCATTTTTATTATCATTACACTGTCTCAAGTACAGCGCAGCAAAATTGACTGTCTGCATTTAACCCATCCCCTTGGGAAGCGATGGGTTGCCATTGTGCTCCCAGGGAGCAGAGTGGGGGTAAATGATCTTTGCTCAGGGATCCAGAGTGGCAGTCTGTGGGAGTGGGTTTCAAACTCATAACCTCAGGATTCCAATCTCTATGCTCTAACCACTAGGCCACCACTCCCTGACAAAGGCCGACCTTAACCATGGCCTGCTACAGCATAGGTGACAACACCCTATAACAGGAGCAGTCTGACCAGATAACAACTCATTGCCTTTCTTTTATTTTGTTATGAACAATAATATACAATTTTTATTCCCTTAAAATACGGTCAAAATCTTACTCTAATCATCTCAATACAAAGCACTGAGCTTTTCTTCTAAATACAGAACCATCCAAATTTTTCAAGGGACACCCTGGACTTTAAACTACCTTTCAATGAAAAATCTAAAAAGTACGGCAACATCTCACAATTAGCCTGAGCTACTACAGCCTCTGCCTGCTGTGATGAACTAACCACAGTCATTTAACCCAAGCACAATCAGATTTACTGCAGAAATTCTGTGAAGAAAGGAAGGTTTGTGAAGCACAGAGAAGATTATCCACCTCATAAAAAAACACCCGCTTAACAAAACCGTTGAGGAAAGAAACGTTAGCTGCATTGCTAACGTGTTTATAGATGTAATACTAGGGTGACCAGACGTCCCCGATTTCCGGGGACTGTCCCCGTTTTGGACCACCTGTCCCCGGCTAAAGCTGTCCCCGGAAATGTCCCCGATTTTACCGAGGCGAAAAATGTTGCGTGTAGACTGTTATTACAGTAGAGCTGTTGCGCGCAAAAATAGGTATTACGGTAGCTGGTTGCGCTGCTGATAACATAAGGATAAGGAACAGAGCGCACCACTAGAAGCGCGGTAATGATCCTTTTGGATGTCAGCTGCCATTAAAAGACAAAGAGGAAGAAGAGCGCATCACTTTTAAAACAGAAGAAGAAGAAGAAGTGGAAGTTCGTTTTTTACAACCTGTGGCAACTGATGGGGAGCTACGCTGAATGATGGTAAGTGTGTTAATCAATTTATTTTATTCTGATCGGGCTGATCTTGTGATAAATGTTTGGTTTGTGTCCAGGTTAAAACAGTAATAAAAAGTAAGACAAGACCACGAGTTGAGCATGAGTAAAAGACGCTGGGTTAAAATGTAGCAAAATGATTGAAAACTCCTTGTAAGGCGCTAATCTGGTACGCTGGTTCTCCAGGGATCAACAAGGGTTTGTATAAAGGTGATTTAGAATGGATAGGTGACCTTTAGTTTATATTTCAGATAGTTATTATAAGTAGAGTTATTTCAATTTGTTTTGATGATTTATGGTTGTGATTTATGAGCATAGACTTCCAGTTTTTGGTGTGCTTTTTTACTGCTCAGTTTGGATATATATGAAAGTTCCTTGTGAAAAAATAGGAGTCAGTAACAGGAGAACTGAATAAGACAAGATCTACATGATTTGAGAATGATGGAGATAACCACCTGTTTAATGTTCATTTATTATGTGGTTTTTGCTTGTAGCTCCTAATATTGTGGTAATTAGCATTTTTAGTATTTAGATGAGATATTAATAATAATAAGTTTTCATGTTGCACATCCTAATTTTTTTTGGAGGTGATTTTGATTATATAATGTCTCTGTTTTAGAATAATGTAAGATTGATGCTGGAGGAGTGAGGAAGAAGATAGAAAGACAGAAAGGAGATTGAATGAGAGAGGAGGAAACTAGGAACTCTGATAGAAAAAACGGTTGACAAGAAGGGAGAAAAATTTACTTTGAGGAGTAAAGCAGAGAGCAGGAAACATAAGAGGAAGCCTTAATGCACAATACAGAAGCTGTGAAAAGAAGGAAATTATATATGTATATGTTATTGCTGTTTATAAATATGGACTATTCTTGGATTATATACATTGTGTTGATGTTAAGCCTATTCTGCTGTTCAATGGTTAAACTTGTTTAAGACATTAAAAAGGTTATTTTGCTTTTTACTTGCTATGTCTTCTCTTATATTATTTTACCCAAATTACCAGGGCCACTGCCTCAGACCCTGTTCAGTTAATATTTCTGTTTCAAACACTTAAAATGTATAATATGTATTAATAAAGTTCAAGTGATAAAGCGTTGACATGATTTGAGTGATAAACTAACATATTGAGTGATGTAGTGTGCAAAGTATGCTGTGGAACACAGAGTGGCTGTATACTCAGGTTAGTAGGAAAAATGAACCTGCTACTTTGAGACACACAGGCCCCTGATGGGGAACCAACTACCAGTTTTAGTCTGTGAGGCAGACACCCTGTCTACTTTTAAGGCTAGGCTTAAAACTTTCCTTTTTGATAAAGCTTCTAGTTAGAGTGGCTCAGGTTATCCTGATCTATCTCTATAGTTCTGCTGCTATAGGCTTAGACTGCTGGAGGACATAGGGACCCCTTTTTCATCATTCTGCTTCATTCTATCTCTATTCTCCCACTCTGCAGAATCTGTTAGTTCAATCTCTAACGTTCTGCTCTCTCTGCTTTTCCTCAGAGTAGCTTTGCCTCGTCTGTTCCTGTTTGGCTGTGACTCCATCCTGGAAAGAAACATCAGCTGTGCTGCTTCAATCAACACCCTTGTTTATAGATGTTGGAGATCGGCCTGTTTTCCAGTGTAGTCCTGTTTCTCTGACTGTGACTAACTGGATGTGTTCTCTTCGTCCTCTGGCATGGTAGCTGGCTCGGAGCTCGTCTGCCTGGCTGTGTGTTTCCTGGACGGGGCCGCCTTTTACAGCTGCCTTTTGTATCTATGCTTCTTTTTCTATGTCTGCTTCTGTCTCCTTGAACCCCAGTGGGCCTCAGCAGATGGCCGCTCACACTGAGCCTGGTTCTGCTGGAGGTTTCTTCCTGTTAAAAGGGAGTTTTTCCTCTCCACTGTCGCTACAAGCATGCTTAGTGTGAGGGATTGTATTTGAGTCAATGAGTCGATGCAATCAACTGGTTTTCCTTAGATAGAAAACTTTGTATCGATTTGACTGTATGATCTGGTTGAACTGTAAAGGGCCTTGAGATGACATGTGTTGTGAATTTGGCGCTATATAAATAAACTAAATTTAATTGATCTGGCTAGGTGACAGTAAGAAACATATATGAACCTTTACCTGCAGGCTTGACTACTACTTGTTTTTTTTATGTTAATGAAGAAAAAAAATATTTCTTATAGGTATGTACAGTAGATGTAAACAGAATAAGTATTTGTTGCACTTTTTTGAAGAGGTGGGGAAACTCTGTCTCAACAGACAGCCACAGGCATGGAATAAATGTTTGTATTTACTTTTCTAAATTTCTTTTCCTCATGTCACTCTCCCCTTAGGAGGCGGCAGAGCTCATTGGGCCTCCAAAATTGGAAAGCCCTGCTAATGACCCTTGACCCCTCCGCTCCCACCCCCACCACTTTGCCCCAACCCAGAGACACAGTTCTAGTTTTCTACTAATAACACTATTCATGTTATTAATCTTAGGATACACTAAACGTTTGGAAAGGCACATTCCTGGCTTTTACACTTGATTTTTGTTGTTTAAATATTAATAAATATGTAAAAATATATGAAACCATTACTGTCCCCGTTTCCTAATTTCATCTCGATAAGATGTATTGATTTTTATCCACGAGCAAGAAATGTCCCCAGATTTGATTTCAGAAATCTGGTCACCTTATGTAATACGGGCATACACTCTACGAGTTTTTGCCCTTTTCGGGCCGATTCTCAAGTCAGGCAAGAATTTTTTGGATCGGGTCGAGTTTCAGCCTCCTCGTAAGTCGTGGATCGCTCAGTATACAGGGGGTAACGAGGGGCAGTTAGCCTCTCACAAGCATCTCCCGATCAGGAATGGTAAGGTTGGGAGAAAATAACACGTTTGAAACACATTCGGACCTAGTAAGGTGTTTGTGATCAAATCCTGCTTTTGAAGCAGAGCTACGAGCCGATTTACCAGAACCTTGTGCACTGCATATGTGTAAATAAGGGAGTTCTTCTTAAGTCTTAACCCTAACCCAGCACTGAGTGTGGCTTTTAGACGTGCAGTGTGAGCAGGTAGATCGCATCAGAGTGTCGGGTCGTACAGTGTGAGAACAAACATCCTGAGCTGTGAACTTTAAAACCCTACCGTGTGGTCATATATTTTGAGCTGTAGCTGAGTGCAACGATTGTAATTATTGTACAGTGCATGCTCGGTTAAGCAGTCTGACACAGTAAAGTTATTCACCTGAATGAAGTTGGCCCCCCCACCTTCATCAAATCAGACAAAATTAGTTCAAACGTTTGTGCTGGTTTGTGCGGCAAAAATTTTCATTTGTGCCGCTATCGTTTTAAAGATATAAAGAGATATTTCTAGAGGTCATCAAAGGTCAACCAGCCCCCACACCTTCTTCAAATCAGACGAAATAGGTGTCAATTAACTTAGCTCCGTTTGTGCAGCAAAAAAGTCGTTTGTGCTGCTTTGGCTTTGAAGATATTAATGAAAATGTAAAGGTCAAAAGGTCAACCAGGCCCCCCTCCTTCTTCAAATTAGACAAAATTGGTGTCAAATGTTTGTGCTACGTTTGTGCAGCAAAAATTTTCGTTTTTCCCTCTTTCAATTTTTTACATTTTGAAATTATATAATCATAGGTTAGCAACTTATAATTTATATGAAATTCAGAGTTTCAGATTGAACAAATGTTCACTGACCTTTGATGGCGTCTACAAACAATTAATATTAAAATTATCACAGCACAAAAAATGTATATATTTTAAAATATGCATTTTAAAATTTTTAATATATTTATTTGAAATATTTTATATTTAAAATTAATTTTAAAATTTTATATTTTTGAATGGCAAAAATTTTCATTGGTACTGCTATCATTTCAGTAATATTAATATCAAAGCTGACCTTTGATGACCTCTAGAAACATTTCTTTATATCTTTAAAATGGTAGCGGCACAAACTAAACTTTTTGCTGCACAAACCAGCACAAACGTAGCACAGACATTTGACACCAACTTTGTCTGATTTGAAGAAGGTGGGGGGGCCAACTTCACTCAGGTAAGTTATTCTCAGCTCCTACCTTTGGAGCTTTGTAAGGGACAGTTGGTATCAATCCACTCTTCATTTTAAGGTGTGTGGAGAAGCCTGCTTTTTCAGCACCAATGTTGTAAAAGCAATCCTCTTTGAATGTTCAGCACACAGATCTAAAACCTCTAAGGTTTTCCTTGTAGATTTCAATGAAGGATCCAATCCTTCCACAGTGTCTTTAGGGCCTCAGATTAAAGCAGTAGAAAAATACTTCTGCTTTATTGATGGAGCCATTAACAGAAGAGCTGTTGTGCTTAGCTCTTAGCTTAGCCCTTTCTGTTTGGATGCTCAGTTTCTGTAAGCAAAGATGGCACCTGCTAGAGGCCGGGCTCAGATGGGGTAGTGCTTTTGCCCCATATGATGTCATAAAGGGCATGGTTTTTAAAAAGAGCATTTTGAGCATACAATATTTAAGAGATCCAACAAGACAGTGAGAGAGGTAAAAGGTTTTTTTTTTTTTATTATTTCTGAACCTACTACAAAGGCTACAGGACACATATGACTGTTATAAATATTATATTAAATATTGCATAATATGGGAACTTGAAACAAACAACTATTTTAAAGAAAACCTTTTGAGTTACTATAACAATTTATATCCATTTGAGATCAATTAAGTGTTTTTATAAATTTTATTTAAATAAATGTCATAAAAAAAGAGAGATTTAGTTAACAGATTGCCCTTCGATGGACTGGCGACCTGTCCAGGGTGTACCCCGCCTCTCGCCCACTGACTGCTGGAGATAGGCATCAGCGCCCCTCGTGACCCCACTCAGGACAAGCGTGTCAGATAATAGATGGATGGATGGATAGTTACCAGATTTTTAATTTATTTAGATTCATCTCCGGACCGGACTTTTCCTTTAAATGGGAGGAGTCTGGTCAGTGATTAAGAGTGGGAAATGATGGGTGATATCCTTACCCAAGCCTAGTTTTGGGTCCTTCTTTAACGAAACACATATGACTTCCCTTTCTGAAGACGTCCCCAGTTTGGGCAGCATTTCTGCAGGAAGGATGATAAGACACAAATAACCATAAGCAACGACAACTCTGAAGGAGGGAGGGGACACAAAAATGACTTTTCTGCATAAAATACTTATAAGAGAAACTATGTGCTCCATATGAGGTGCATCATCTGTGCTAAGGTGAAGCTGAGCTGTAAGTGTGGAGATGTTGTGCCTTGGGCTGCAGGAGATCCAGAGTGGGCTTCTGATCCGCTCCTCTGAGAACAGGATGGAGAATGTAAACCAGTGCTGCTGCGCTGACTGCTTGAGCAGGGGCTGCTGAAGGAAAACCATAAGAAACACTCAGTACTGTTTTTCCAAAAGAAATTACCAAGCAGATTTTATGGGTTTTGTTTCCTTTCTTGACTCTGATTTGCTCCACATCCATATTTTAACAAGCAGTCGATAAAAAGTATTCACACCTTTAAAACATCTTCACATTTTGTCAGAAAGGCCTTTAATCAAAACATTGCCACTTCCATAGTGATTTTATGTAGAATATCACTACATTTTGCCTTTGATTTTGCTGTTTCCATGAATCAAAACAATTTAAAAATAATTTTTATTTACAGCTGCGAGTCTTTTAAAGCTACAGTGTGTAATAATTACAGGCATATAAAGTCAGAAATTTAATATATTATACATAACTATGTTATTTATCATCACCTATGAGCTCAGCCTTTTAACCATAATATTTGCGCTGCCTTAGAATTCGTTATTTATAATTACATAGGAGCGGGTCTCGCAGCCATGGAGGCTGACATCTTTGCGCTACGGCAAGCGCAGAGGCAACAAACTAGCGATTGCGAGATCTCCCATGACGCTCAAAAATAACTACGGCAAGTTGAGAGAGATGAACTGAGACGGTACTGAACAGTAGATGGCAGTATTATGCCTGAGAAGCGTTTAGTCTGCCTGAAACCAAAGAAGAAGAAGAAGCAGGTATACTGCGCATCAGTAACAAGAAAGGTGAACAAAGACGGCAGGCGTGAGTGACTTTGCAAACTGTTTGGCACTGTGTGGCCAAACATCAGACGAATGGAGGATCATGCCTACTCTGTATCACAACGAAAAGCGGCGGACACCGAACCCCCGTCATCTAAGAAGCGGAAACACGACGAGAATAAACGCAAGCGTGACAAGAAACGACAAAAAACACGGATCAACATTGGCACGGCATTTCCACGATGGAAGTCACTGATGGAGGAAAAAGGTTTTCAAAGTGACGCTCAAGTTGCCAGTTTTCTCTTGGACAGGTAATTAATCCTACACACACAATTGTCTAATATCACTGCAGTTTTTGGAGTACAGGATGCTCAGACCTGTCTAAAACAATAACATGCTGCGTGATGATGCTGTTACTCTCCAGTATACTTATTCAGCAACGTCCCTGACATTTCATAGGTAATGATTCAGTAATTTTCTGTAAAATAATTTTCTGGATATATACCTCGGTTACTTCTCTCCGGCTCCTTTGGAGATCTTCAAGCGTTTCCTCCTCTGCTCTCACCCCGCTGGCTCCCCTCTCTCGCCTGGCCCTAGCTGCACGGCCTCCCTGCCTTCGCCCTCGTCCTCTCCCTCTTCCTCGCGTTGTAACCCCCGTGCCACCAAAATGACTTGGACTCTGTAAACGGGGAATATATATTCTTCCAGCGAACACAATCTCGCTGTTAAACTAATGACTACAATTAGTAGTCTGTTTATATCACCATGCAAAGCAGCTCACCAAAACGTCACAACGATGTAGAAAAAATAACGGGTATATTTATTATCTTAAGTCTACATGAAATCTATACCCTACTCAGACTAATGAAATACTATCTGTAAAATTATCTATGTAAACAAACCTCATCACTTGAGAGGGTAGGTGATGCGGACGTCGTGGAAGAAATTTTGTCCCGTAACGCTCGCCGTACTGTTGGGGGGGAGAAGCGGTGGGGGGGAGATGTTCATGTTGCTGCGGTCTGCAGTCTGACCGCTAGATGTCGCTGAAAATTACACACTGTAGCTTTAAAATATCTAAACTAGCTTCCAGATTTAGGGCCTGAAGAACCTTTCCTAATTTATAAGCAAAGGCTGAAATAGTTGTATTTCCATCCACGCCATGCAAAGTTTGAGATAACTTTTGGAATGTTGAAAAAAGAAAAAAAATGTGAATTATTTAGTTTTCATACATTTGTGCGAATTAAACAGGCTGCAAAATGTAATGTCATCAATGTTGACATCAATGTAAATACTTGGCTGTAATAAACAGGATGTAGAGTTAGCTAGCTAATGCGACAATAGATCAGTAATGGATTTGTTTCAATCTGGAAAAAGTGTACTCCCTTACAATGTCAGCTGATAATAGCGATGCTACATGCCATCCAGATACATCAGACAGAATAATAAATATGATTCTAACACTCATGATGCCGGTGTTTTGTCAGATTAGCATACCCTGCCAGACCAGCATATCCATAGTCAACACTAGTGTTGCACGTATGCCATTTTTTGGCCCCGATACCGCTCCGGGATACCTGGCTGTGGAGTATTGGCTGACACCGATAACATTTGTTAGAAATTGATGTGTGTGTACAGGTGCTGGTCATAAAATTAGAATATCATGAAAAAGTAGATTGATTTCAGTAATTCCATTTAAAAAGTGAAACTTGTATATTATATTCATACATTACATACAAACTCATATATTTCAGATGTTTATTTTGTTTAATTTTGATGATTACAAATGACAACAAATGAAAATCTCAAATTCATCATATCAGAAAATTAGAATATTGTGAAAAGGTTCAAAATTGATGGCCCCTGGTACCACACTCTAATCAGCTAATTAACTCAAACCACCTGCAAAAGCCTTTAAATGGTCTGTCAGTCTAGTTCTATAGGCTACACAATCATGGGGAAGACTGCTGACTTGACAGTTGTCCAAAAGACGACCATCGACACCTTGCACAAGGAGGGCAAGACACAAAAGGTCATCGCTAAAGAGGCTGGCTGTTCACAGAGCTCAGTGTCCAAGCACATTAATAGAGAGGCGAAGGGAAGGAAAAGATGTGGTCGAAAAAAGTGTACAAGCAAGAGAGATAACCGCACCCTGGAGAGGATTGTGAAACAAAACCCATTCAAAAATGTGGGGGAGATTCACAAAGAGTGGACTGCAGCTGGAGTGAGTGCTTCAAGAACCACCACACACAGACGTATGAAAGACATGGGTTTCTGCTGTCGCATTCCTTGTGTCAAGCCACTCTTGAACCACAGACAGCGTCAGAAGCGTCTAAAGAGAAACAGGACTGGACTGCTGGTGAGTGGTCCAAAGTCATGTTCTCTGATGAAAGTAAATTTTGCATTTCCTTTGGAAATCAAGGTCCCAGAGTCTGGAGGAAAAGAAGAGAGGCACTTCATCCACGTTGCTTGAAGTCCAGTATAAAGTTTCCACAGTCAGTGATGGTTTGGGGTGCCATGTCATCTGCTGGTGTTGGTCCATTGTGTTTTCTGAGGTCCAGGGTCAACGCAGCCACATACCAGGAAGTTTTAGAGCACTTCATGCTTCCTGCAGCTGACCAACTTTTTGGAGATGCAGATTTCATTTTCCAACAGGACTTGGCACCTGCACACAGTGCCAAAGCTACCAGTACCTGGTTGAAGGACCATGGTATCCCTGTTCTTAATTGGCCAGCAAACTCTCCTGACCTTAACCCCATAGAAAATCTATGGGGTATTGTGAAGAAGAAGATGCAATACACCAGACCCAACAATTCAGAAGAGCTAAAAGCCACTATTAGAGCAACCTGGGCTATCATAACACCTGAGCAGTGCCACAGACTGATCGACTCCATGCCACGCCGCATTGCTGCAGTAATACAGGCCAAAGGAGGCCCAACTAAATACTGAGTGCTGTACATGCTCATACTTTTCATGTTCATACTTTTCAGTTGGCCAACATTTCTATAAATCCTTTGTTTTTATTGGTCTTCAGTAATATTCTAATTTTCTGATATGATGAATTTGAGATTTTCATTTGTTGTCATTTGTAATCATCAAAATTAAACAAAATAAACATCTGAAATATATGAGTTTGTATGTAATGTATGAATATAATATACAAGTTTCACTTTTTAAATGGAATTACTGAAATCAATCTACTTTTTCATGATATTCTAATTTTATGACCAGCACCTGTATATATGAAGAACTGCATACTACTTGGATGTTAAATAATTTCCATCATGGCTTTGTCAAGCTGCTGCCTACCTTTGTGAAGCAGGAAAAAGACTAATACAAAGTGAATCCAGTAGAACTTTTTATTGCCTACCTGGAATGATAATAGTTGAATAAACTTTTAGTGCTGCATCAGTGCCCCGCACGATGCTGGTATCAGTATTGGTGCAACAATAGTCAATACCAGTTTATCCCTTTAGTTTTATTGAAAAAAAAAAAAAAACACTTTAAACTACTTCAACGTGCATGTATCCCTTTAGTCATGTACAAATAAACAATTGAATTGAATTGCTGTTTGGACCTGTTCACTTCCTGTTTGGATTAACTGAGTGTGCAGCTGTTCAGAGGAACTCCATCTGAAGTTAAGTTATTTTCTCTGTGATATCTCTGTATCTAAGTAACTCTAACTGACTACTTTAAAACATAGCACCTTCTGCTGCACTTTTCTACTGAGCACTTGTCAGTTTCACTCAGTTTTATTTCTGATAGCAAGGAGTAGCTAGCCTAGGCTAGCGCTAGCTTAGCATTGCTATGGCTTCTCTCTCTCCCTCCCTTGACTCTTTTCCAACTCTTCCTTCTTCCTCTCCTCTCTCCTGCTCTCTCTGTCAGATGTTCAGTTATTCCTCTGCCCCCTTTAGTGATAATGGGATGTGTAATAAGTGTAGTATTTTTGTAGCTTTGGAAGCGAGGGTGTCAGAGTTAGAATCCAGGCTTCAGGCTGTTGAACATCCAGGAGTTAAAGTAGGCCCCCCACGTAGCTGTCCTCCAAAAGTGCCTGAGCAGCCAGGCGATTGGGTAACTGTGCGCAGAAAGCGTAGTCGTGGATCTCTGCCCACTGGTCACCACCAACCCGTTCACGTTTCTAACCGGTTTTCCCCACTCAGTGACACACCCACTGAGAAGCCCACTCTGGTGATTGGCAGCTCCATAGTCAGAAACGTGGCATTAGAGACACCAGGGACCATAGTCAAATGTTTGCCGGGGGCCAGAATGGGCGACATCAAATCCTACCTGAAACTGCTGGCTAAGGATAAGGTTAAATACAGTAAGATTGTTTTTCACGCTGGTGGTAATGACACCCGGTTACGCCGCTTTAGAGCTTAGAGCTCATCATAGCACTGAAACAGCTCTGGTGAAAGTCACTAATGATATTCTCATGGCCTCAGATAATGGACTTGTATCTGTGCTCGTCCTGTTGGATCTTAGTGCTGCATTTGATACAGTTGACCATAATCTTTCTTCAAGTCTTCTTTTAGAAAGACTTGAAGATTTTGTTGGAATTAAAGGAACAGCTCTAGACTGGTTTAAATCTTATCTATCTGATCGAATTCAGTTTGTTCACGTTAATGACAAATCTTCCTCATGCTCAAAGGTTACCTGTGGAGTACCACAGGGATCAGTGCTAGGACCAGTTCTCTTTACTTTATACATGCTCCCAATTGGTAGAGTTATTAGACAGCATGGGATTCATTTCCACTGTTATGCTGATGATACCCAGCTATATCTGTCTATAAATCCAGATGAAGCTAACCCATTACAGAGATTACAGGCATGTCTGAAGACATAAAAACCTGGATGACTCTTAACTTTCTCCTTCTGAATGCAGACAAAACAGAAGTTATAGTCTTTGGACCAGAGTCTCTGAAAAAGAAGCTGATTAGCCAGTCACTTCATTTGGATGGGATTAAACTGATTTCAGATAATAAAGTAAAAAATCTTGGTGTTATTTTTGATCAGGACCTATCATTTAAATCCCATATCAAAAAGGTTTCTAGAATTTCCTTCTTTCATCTGAGGAACATTGCAAAAATTAGAAATCTCCTGTCCAGGGGTGATGCTGAGAAACTAGTCCATGCATTTGTTACTTCAAGGCTGGACTATTGTAATTCTATACTATCAGGAAGTCCACAAACTGTAGTTAAAAGCCTTCAGCTGATCCAAAATGCTGCAGCCAGAGTTCTAATGAAAATGAAAAAGAGAGATCATATCTCGTCTATCCTGGCTTCTCTTCATTGGCTTCCTGTTAAATCCAGAATAGAATTTAAAATCCTCCTTCTCATATATAAAGCCTTAAATGGCCAAGCTCCATCTTATATCAGAGATCTGATTGTTCCTTATGTTCCTAACAGAGCACTTCGCTCTCAATCTGCAGGTTTACTAGTGGTTCCTAGAATTTCTAAAAGTAGAATGGGAGGCAGATCTTTTAGTTATCAGGCTCCTCTCCTGTGGAACCAACTACCAGTTTTAGTCTGTGAGGCAGACACCCTGTCCACTTTTAAGGCTAGGCTTAAAACTTTCCTTTTTGATAACGCTTATAGTTAGAGTGGCTCAGGTTATCCTGAGCTATCTCTATAGTTATGCTGCTATAGGCTTAGACTGCTGGAGGACATAGGGACCCCTTTTCATCATTCTGCTTCATTCTCTCTCTGTTCTCCTATTCTGCAGAATCTGTTAGTTCAATCTCTAACCTTCTGCTCTCTCTGCTTTTCCTCAGAGTAGCTTTGCCTCGTCTGTTCCTGTTTGGCTGTGACGTCATCCTGGAAAGAAACATCAGCTGTGCTGCTTCCATCAACACCCTTGTTTATAGATGTTGGAGATCGGCCTGTTTTCCAGTGTGGTCCTGTTTCTCTGACCGTGACTGAGTGGATGTGCTCTCTTCGTCCTCTGCCATGGGAGCTGGCTCGGAGCTCGTCTGCCTGGCTGTGTGTTTCCTGGACGGGGCCGCCTTTTACAGCTGCTTTTTGTATCTCTGCTTCTGTCTCCTTGAACCTCAGTCGGCCTCGGCAGATGGCCGCTCACACTGAGCCTGGTTCTGCTGGAGCTGTCTTCCTGTTAAAAGGGAGTTTTTCCGCTCCACTGTCGCTACAAGCATGCTTAGTGTGAGGGATTGTATTTGAGTCAATGAGTCAATGCAATCAACTGGTTTTCCTTAGATAGAAAACTTTGTATCAATTTGACTGGATGATCTGGTTGAACTGTAAAGTGCCTTGAGATGACATGTGTTGTGAATTTGGCGCTACATAAATAAACTGAATTGAATTGAATTGAAATTGAAAATTACTTACTTCTTGGTGTTTTTTAAGCGTATGGCGATCTGACCTTAAATTTTTTATTTTTTTTTGTAAATGACTAAAGGGAAACACGCACGGTGAGGTGGTTTAATGTCTATTTTTCATAAAAAAAAACTAAAGGGATAAACTCAAATCTGATGTCTTGCACGTGCGAATTGACTATAGATATGCTGGTCTTTACGCGGTACGCTGATCTGACAGAACACCAGCAGAGGAAATGCCTGATCAGTTGGGTTTGCCATGTCAGAACTTATTGAAGAAATGGGTTTCCATCTCCTCTTTAGTGCATTTACTCTTTTAAAAAGTCAGTAATTGTCTCAAGATATCTGAATTTTGTTGTTTCCATCAAGCTCTTCTAATGCAATAAATCAAAATGCAGATAAAAGAAGAAAAAAAAATGTTTTTTTTGGACACGTCTTTGGTCTGGATTTCACGTTTTCTTTATCTTATGATTCTGGCCTATTTGTCTGCTACACACCTCATCGCCTGACTTCATATACTGCTTTCAGGCTGGCAACAGTGCCAGATTATCGAAAGCCAGTTTCCAGTGTTGCTTTCTTGCCTGCCTGTTCTTGACCCTTTTTTGGATATTATCCCAGACTATGGACGTCCACCTTGTTTCTGACACTTGCTACAGTAAGTTCTGGATCTGTCTGTCTCAATCAGATTCCCCATGTTCGACCTCGATTTTGCAACCTGACAACCAATTCAAGCACAACCCTCAAATTCTGTCACTTATATCTGCTTCCATGGCTTTGACCAAGTTTCTTTGTCCTGTTTACTAGATTTTTGCCGGCCTCCTGGAGGTTTATCCTTGTATTTTCCGTCTGTGGATCTCCTGAATAAAACATCCTGTCAGTTCCATAGTGACGTCACTATGGAGCCAAAATGTAAAATCCCACACTCTCTCAAATTCTGAGAGGGTTTGTTGTTTCATTTTTTAACCTAAGATTGTCCACAAGTTCCTGTCCATCTGCTAGCCCTGTCTCATTATTCAGAGGTCCCTGATCCTGCTGCTGGTGACTTCCTACCGTTCTACAATCACAGTTTCAATAAATCTTTAAATGTCAATCAGTTGTTTAAGGATGAACTTTTAAGTCATCACTGCACCCTGTTACAACTCAAGGATCATTTTCCCCTTGGCTCCCCTTGGAAAAAGTATTTCCGCAAAGCATTTTGCAAGTAGGGAAATTATTTATGGAGCAGGTTTTGTTCCAATATTCGTGCCAACAAAGACAACCTTTTCTTAAATGAACATTTAAAAAGAAATTAACCCAGCGATGAAACTTAATAATTTTTTATTTATTTTAGAAGTCAAGACAATGGCTGTTTCTTAGTTAACAAGAACGCAAGTATTGACTTGCTTTCTGGTGACATCACCACAAGCTCGGCTCATTTAGAGCTGCGTTTTATCTCCTGTTATTGATAGTCTCTAGATAATAATAAATTCTGACTTTTTTCATTTAGTCAACTTTTTTTAAATTATCACTAATGGGCCATATAGTGATGCTTAAAAGTATAATGTTGTTGTGTCAAATTAACTTAATACCCTGAGCTCTGTGTGCGCTAACCTGGAAGCTGCTGCTGCCGCAGTGCATGCTGGGACCGCTGTAATCTCAAGAAAGGACAAGTCTGCTCTGATGCATGCTGGGTAAATAGGGAGGGACCAGAACAACATCCAGGGAGGGAACTTTGTCAGTTTTCTGTATTCTTGTTCTTGTGAATTTGAACAGTACTAGGACTGAGGCTGATGACGTTTCACAAAAACGCACAAGTACACAGATTGAGAAACGGCCAATGTGATGTGGAAAAGGCTTTTCAAAAAGAATTTAATTAATAAAACCTAATCCTAAAAAATTTAATTTGAGAAAAAGCCTAAAATAATAAATATATGTATATTAACCTTTTTTCTTTTTTTTAAAGAAATCATAATGAAAATTGAAAAAAAACCTTAAAAGTGAACAAGAAAACAGCAAAGATAGTCTCAAAACTTTTTTATTAAAATGTTTTTCAAAGTTTCATTTCTTTTGTTTATTTTAATTTACAAAACGCATTGTCTTTGTTTTGTTTTACTTCCATTTGCAAAACGTGTGCTTTGCTTGCAGCAACATGGAACGAAAGTCTCTCCGTAAACAGAACATAACGTTTTCTCTCTCATCTCTCTTTTCACTTGATCCTTCTATCTTGCCTTATTAATGTTGGCTTTTTGAAATAAAACCCTGATACCTTCACTAACCAGTCGTATTCATACTGCTATTTGGTTGTAAAGAATTTTATTGAAGGGTATCAAGCTAAAAGGGGTATTATGAGAAAATCACTCCAAACTTGTCTGATTGTTACAAACCAGACATGTATTATTTTGGTTTATGACGATGAAACACATTGAGCACTGTCATCTACCAATTTTGCTGCATCCAAATAGTGCTTAACGTGTTCCTCTGAACATTGAGTTAAGATTATCGTGCCTCTTACAGGGGATTAATTACCTTTGCTGCTTCACACGGGCCTCTATTCTGGCAGCGACGTCATTGCACAGTTTGGTGACAGACTCCTCCTGTGGCGTGGTCAGGCCGCTGTCATCCTGCGGCGTCTCAGAACAGGAGAAATGGCTGCTCTGAGCACGGCCTACGGCTGCATAATGCACCATGTTGTCCTCTGTACAAAGGGGTAGAAAGCAGGTTTTCTTCTCTACGGCAATCCGATGCCCCAGAGCCGCATGCGGCTCTTTAATGCCCCCCCTTGCAACTTTATGGAGCTTTTTCAAAGTCGTATGAAAGATTATATGGAAGATTAGCGTCATAGCGCTGCACCTCGTTGCAGCGGCGCGGTACCAGGCAGGTGGCTGCTGTAAACAAAGTGGTGGGTGTGTCTCAGACCATGGATCCCAAAAAAAAGGAAGATAGCTGATGGGAACAGAGGATTCAGAGAAGAATGGAGCTAATCATTTGCTCTCATTACCAATCAGGAAGGATTGCCTGCATGTTTGCTTTGGAATGAGGGGTTGTCAAATAATAAAGAGTCACTAGGAAAGGCATTTCCAGGGAAGACTAAATCTGCAGCCCACCCCCAAGCCGGGAGGGAGAGAAAAAGTGAGATTGCAAAACTTCTGGATAAATTAGAGGAGAGCAAAGATAGATTTAAGAAGTAGATTGCATCTCCAAACTCCACTACTGCTGCTGGTTTGGTTGCAAACATAGAAAACTGTTCATAGATCCAACAGGTAGCGCTCTGATGCAGGGAACTTTCTTCCATTTTTGCCCCCGAATCCTCAAAATAAAAATGACAGATTTCTTTCTTATGTTTCTATAATTTCATCAATGCAAAAAAATTGAATACTTAAATATTGTAATGGAAATTAAACTTAAAGCACCAAATATGTTCCAGCGGAATCACAGTATATGACATTTGCTCTAGAAAAAACATTTGATCATGAATTATTTTTATATATTTAGGCCCATGTAGTTCTTATTTATAGTGGGCTAAGACACTTATAGCCCATGCTGCCATACAAGGCTAATAGAAGACTTACATTTTTGCGGCTCCAGACAGATGTGTTTGGGTTATGAGGGGGAATTTATCATTAGGCAATACTAGGCCTAGGGCCCCAGGTTCCTGGGGGCCCCATAAAACTCTGTTTACATGCATAGTTCATACAACTTTTCCTTATTTGTGCAAAGTAATTATGTTTTTGATAAAAAGAAATCATTTGTCTAAAAAGCCATCCAAAGGAGTATAATATTAAGTGTGTCTCAGCCCCCCCCCCTTCAATGTCCACCATATTGGATCAGTCCATTTGCTGCACATGTTCAGAAAGGTCCAAACAGGCAGCAGCAAACCATTTGAAAACAAACGATGCAAAGAGCAGTGTTGCCAACTTAGCGCTTTAGTTGCTATATTTAGTGACTTTTCAGACCCCTCTAGCACTTTGATTTCTAAAAAGCTCCTAGCGCCAAATCTAGCAACTTTTTTCTGCTACTGGAGACTTTGGAGACAACATCTAAAAGCAGCGAACTCTGCTCTCCAGAGCAAGTAGATTGGTAACCCCGCCTCCTGCTCTCCTCTATCTTGTCTGCTGTCATGATTCATGCAGCTATTATTTCATCCAAATTAAAAATGGAGAACAGAGAAGCAGATCATGGCTTGTCTACAGTGAAAAGAAGGACTGGGTTATTTACTTTGGCCTTTTTGGAAACACAGGAAGGAGCAATCAGCTAAGTGAGCTTAGTGCTTGGAAAAAATCTTTCATTCCTTTAGAGACAGCATGAAAAGTCAGCCGAGTACAAAACATAGAGAGGAAAACAAGAAGAAAAGGGACAAGAAGAGAGGGACACAACCTAGAACAGATAATGGATGTCTATTCTATTAACATTTCTCGAACTGTAGAATGGGTCTGTTTTATGTGTCATCTTCTCAGTTCAGAGGACCCCCTGCCTGTCTTTGCATAAGGCATCAAATTTCCTAAATCCGTCCCTGTGGGTTGCCGACCCCTGATCTGTGTTGTACAAGAGTGCAGCCACAGCTATGGGCTTAGGGTGGGAGGGGGATACAGTCCCTTAGCTGAATGTGAACCTGTTGGTTGAACTGCAGCAGCTTACCTGAGACCAGGCTGTGGCTGAGCGTGCGGGAGCTCATCTCATTGTTAAACTTGTGCTGCGCTGAGCAGAGGTTGCACAAGTATTTGCCTATCCTAGACCTCTCCGTGATGAAGGTGTATTTCTTCCGGCTGCCGCGGCACTCTATTATAAATTTCCTTTTCTGTGGATCCATAAAAAAGCAGCTTTAAGAACATGAACACACACACGGGGAGAATAACATGAGGGACTCTCTCACGTTAGAGGAGATGGTAGCAGTCTCCCTCCAGTAGAAACTCTGAGCGGTGGACCTGCAGCCATCTTTAACCTCATAAACCATGACACCTTTGGCACAAACCCCAAGAACGATCTCCCCGTCCGGCTTCTTCTCCCGTATCACGCGGTGGAAGAAGACTCCGTATTCAGGCAGCTGCTGACAAACCTGCAGATTTTCAGAGAACAGGTCAGGGAGGCATGGTGGGGGGGACGGCGTGGCCGGTTTCCAGCTTCTCCCACCTTTAGAAACTCAACCTCAGATTCATCTGCGGTCATCTGGGCGTTGGTGGCATGAAGCTTGAGCAGCTCGGCCTGAATGTACGGCAAGGCACGTTTCTCCATCACGCTTTTGGAGACATACTGATCCGGTCGGTAGTAGTTTCTACCGAACACCTAGGCACAGCAGAGAACAGGCTTTAACTACACCATACATCATCAATTTATGCATACTGCACAAACGAAGCACATTTTTATGATGAAAAGGCATTTTAATAGAGAATCATTAGAGGATAGTGTTGGAAAAATGTAAATGTCATCATTTTATTTGTACGAAGTTACAGCCATTTGCCCTGCTAGGAATGTTGTGCTGTTTTAACTTCAAATAGGGAGAGTAAATGCTTCTGCAGGTGACTGATCATCACCCGCATTAAAACTGCACAAGGAACTGTCATGCTTTATCATATGTAAACCCATCCTGACAACTTCTGACCCATCCTGTTACTCCTTTGAAGGCTGATATTAAAGGCAGGGGACAGAGAGGTCCCAGCAGGATGGAACACATACATTCAGGGAGTGAAAATTCTCCATCTGGGGTCTACTCTCCTCTTCTGCAGAAAAGTAAATTGTCTATTGTGTTGGTTTATTTCTAGGACAATAAGGGGTTATTATCATTTTACCCCAACAGATAGCTAAGCACTTAGGAGGTGAGATTTTGCCACCAATTGCAGCTCACTGTGATCAGTTATATTTTATTGGGAAACATGAGATGTCAGCAATGTCAGGATTATCCTTATTGATGATGTGTGAGTCTGTTGAATCCTTATATTTCCTACTTGTTACGTGTCAGAACTAATGTTTTTTCCACGTAGTTTATGTATTCAGGACTGTTCCTCTGTCAGGATAAAATTCTTCATTCTGCTTGTGGCAGAATGAAGAATTTTTGGGAATGGAATGAGAGCGGAGTCCTGCATCTAATAACATAGTGTGATTTTTTTATAAGGCTGGAGCCATGGATGTCTCCTCTCTGCTGAAATGATGTGATGATGTTGCAGACTCTAACTGGGATTCAGGGCTACTTCAAAGAGATGTGAGCCCCGGTTGGTAAGTGCTGTCTTCTGTAACGCTACGTTCAGACCGCATGCTGCAGAAGCAGCTGGTTTACATGCAAAGTCAATTGTTGACGCATATCAAGGCGCAGCAAAAGGTCCTGCAGCGCGTTTTGAGCAGCTGAGGCACTTCAGAAGCAGCAGACGGAAATATGCGCCACATCAACCAATCAGAGAAGCTGATCTGGGAGCTGGCAGGGAGACAGACACAGCACTGCTGATGCAGGGCGCTATGATCACGCCTCTAAAACTGTTTATTAACGCCTAAATTAACTTAAAATGTAGAAACCTGCTGGCAGAATATGTTCGATTTTATTATCCTGGTACCTGCAGTTTGTAGCACAGACCTGAAAAACGCTAACATCTACATCCAGCCGCCACCAACAGTAGAGGAAAACCCCCAAGAGGCGAGCGGGCCTGAGGCAGCTGCTGCTGGGGATTCCCAGTGACAGCGCACCACCGGTATGTGGGGGTCTGAGCGGCTCCCACAGAGAAATAATCTTTGAAGGCAGGATGGTAATCTGGAGGAACTGACTGCACAGACCATGTTTTCAGGAGGACTTTCTCACTTCAACATAGATTCTAACTACTTTTTACCCGCTGATCACAGCAAATATAGCAAAGCTGCTCTCTGGCATTGAACACAGGAGCAGCAGAAGCAGCAGAAGCATCTGGACACACTTTATAGGACGTCTGACCTTAATGTGGATCAGAAATGAAGCAGTAGAAGCTTTTTTTTTTATAACTCTAAGCAACTTCTCTGGTCGGAGTAAGATTACAATTTCTTCAGTTTATAATTTTTCAAGAAAAAGTTGCTGGTGTGGACTTTAGTTTTTAGAAAGTATTTCTGAATCTATTTGCATCCTTCCTCAGATACAACCTCAGGCATGAAGTCTCCATACTCTGTCTGCAGGGCCAGACCTCCCAGGTACAGAGCGGTCTCCTCATGGCAGGACAGTCGGTCTTCTAAGAGGTCCCTCCTGAGCTGCAGGTAATACTGGTGACGGGTCTGTTTGTGCCTAATGGAGGAGACCATCCGTATTCAGTTAGACAGAAATAGAGGAAATGTTCAGTGTTTCTTTTGTTCTCTCTGTCTGTAACATACGACAGAGTATTAGGGCCAGGCTAGAGAATTTTTTTCAATTACAAGAATAAAGTCAGAACATTATACGAATAATGTCAGGATCCGGTTCTTGTGTTCGTCTGTTTTTCTTGTCTTTTGTGTTTCTCCCTTCCACCACCAGGAGGCGCCTGGCTCCGGTTCGCCTCCTCACACACCTGCAAGCTGTTGCCTCATCACCGGACTGCTCTTAAGCTGCTGGTTGCCACTACTTCGACGCCAGAGTGTTTGGGGTACTCTAGCCAAGCCTTGTTTATGCTGAGTCTAATCTGAGTTTTGCATTTTTGAGTTTTTGTCCTCTAGTCAAGCTGAGATCACATAGAGTTTTACTGAGCGCTTGTTTCTCTCTGAGACTAAACCTTGTTTGTTCTTTGCCTTTGGGCAGGAAGCCTTCCTGCAAACTGGACCTTTTTGGACCGCCTTCTCCCAAGTGGGATCAACTGAGTCTTACACTGAGCGACGGATTCCAAACAGGAGGTTTGGATCCAGCCACCTTTGAGCACACTGAGATCTCTCTGAGTAATGAAGTCATCTTCACCACGACCCGTTCAAGTACCACAGGAAAACTGAGTTGCAACCAGCGGCTACAAACAACATATCCTCTCCTTCAAGATTGACAACTCCAATTCCCCACTGAGCCTGAATCTAACAGTCTGTCTTCCCCTCGTCTTTCAGTTTCCCGGCCGAGCAGAGTTCGGAGGAACTTTGCACCGAACTCTAAATACCTTTCAATAAAACCCGTTCAAACTTTTACTCTGTGTCTCTCTGTTTGGCTTCACTGCATATGGGTCCGAGCTTTAGATAAAATCATGAAAAATTATATTGAAAAATTACAAGAGTGAAGTAATCATACCACCACCCGTTTCAGAAAGAAAGCTTCGAATTCAAAGTCATTTGCACAATTGTTTCAAAGTTCTGATACCGATAATAATTTAATGTTTCATTTTCCTTACTATTCTTAATATTAATATGCTTAAGTATAAAAATTCAAAAGATGCGCAACATTCCCCATTTTAGGGAAGAGATTTTTGAGAGTTGTCATAAAATACTTTATTCTCATGATGTAATGACTTTATTGTCGGAAATTTATGACTATTCTAGTAATGTTATGTCTTTATTCTCGTAATATTACAACTTTATACGTCTTTATTCTCATAATATTACAACTTTATAATGTAACAACAATTTTCTTACAATGCTATGACTCTATTGTCATATAAAAAAATAAGCAAAAAAATCTGTAGCCTGCCCCAATACTCCTTCGTAGTAACATGATCACCTATAACAAGGATAAGAATATTGCTAAATTAATTCCTGATCATTAGACAATGTGTGCAGTACTGACTGTATCGACTGAACAAGAGAAATCCATTTTTGGAAAGCAAATAAAAAAAGGACTTACAAGAGAAGAGAGATGTTGTTCACAAAGAATTTGATCCTGAAGAAAAGGACAAAAGTCGTGGTAGGCACTTTCTTCCAGCTATCTGGAGCCACTTTAGAAATCTTGGTGTCATTATCAACGAAGAAAAACTCATTATCTAACCAGAGAACAGAGACGTTTGGTGAGCTGCTTCATGTGGAAAGGCCCATCCAGCAGGTGGTCACCCCCAAACCAATCACCTTACCGTCAATATACGCAAGGCCGAAGTAGAAATGCTCAACAAGGTTAGAATGAGCCACGATCATGTCAAAGACGTCTCCTGCTCTGGTTTTAACTTCACATTTCACCAGGATGCTTTGGCCGTTTGGCATCACCACACTGAGCTCTCTGTTGGTGGCTGGAGATTTCCCTTTCCTCGTCTGCAAAAGGAAGAATAAACTTCATGTTCCTATCGCAAAGGGGGAAAAAAGTGTTTGAACTTACCAGGATGGATCCAGGCAGCTCCAAGACGACCAGGGGTTCCTCTAAACCTCGGATAAACTCAGGACCTGTGTCCTACAGAACACGGGGGAAGCTATTAAAGGACACATGGATGTTATTTAAATTAAAGTGTATGAAGAGGGTCTCACCTTCACCTTCTTGTCATTTAAACTGATCGTGGACTCAAACTGGGAGAGAGATCTGGCGCTGCTGGTTCGATTGCCATCCAGGTACGGACTGCAGGGCGTACGGTTCAGATGCTGCCAGCTGGAATAACTTTCTCTGAGTCGACCACCTGAGGAAATCCTGGGGGAAGAGAGTTTTTCCATCTCAGTCTGATTGGAGGAAAGATCTGTTCCTTGTTAGATAACAGCCGATGGCTTAAAGGGGCAAAATGACTAAACTCAGTGTCTAAATTTGAATATAGCAGCAAATTACTAAAACTTCCATCCATCAATTTTCTTCAGCTTTCGGGTGCAGAGGCAGCAGTCTAAGCAGAGATGCCCAGACTTCCTGATCCACACACCTCCTCCAGCTGCTATTGGGGACCCCGAGGCGACACAAGGCCAGCCAGACACATAGTCCCTCCAGCGGGTCCTGGGCCTTCCTCCCAATAGGACATGCCTGCATCACCTCCACAGTGAGGCGACCAGGAGGCCTTCGGAACAGATGCCTGAGCCAACTTAGCTGGCTCCTTTCAATGTGGAGGAGCAACAACTCTACTCCGAGCTCCTCCTGGGTAACTGAGCTCCTCACCTGATCTTAAGGCTGGTTTATACTCAGGAACCAGGTCATCTGCATATGTGTCACAGTGAACACAAATTTGACACACTGCTGCGGGACGATAACCAGCCCTTTAAAGAGTGCGCCAAGCCACCAAATGAAGGAAAATAATTTCAGCTGCTTACATTGTAGGTTTTTGAAAGCTGATTCCTTCCCGCTATCATGCAACCCCAACCCCTTTACAGGGTAAAAGAAGATCTCGCTTATTGAGCCAGGCCAACAATTCCCTTTAACGACCCCCCCCCCCCCTTACATAGACAGGTATGGCGCATTGCAGGCTAACAAGCTAAGCGGCAGACCCGTTCATCCGCTTTAATTTGTATGTTTTCTTAGCCAAAACAAGGCTTTTTTTGCGCTGCTGTATAAAACCTGGAACTCAACACTATTTCTGTCATTTTTTATTGAAAAAGCTTCCTTGATGGAAAGAGAAACATCTTCAAACTTGGAAACAAAGTCCAGTGGATTGTTGTTTTTTTTTTTACTTTTTTGGAATGATTATGACCTGGATGACTGAGAGTCTTCACCAGCAAATCTCCTTTAATGGTTGAAAATATAAGCATTTTTTAATGTTTGTTCTTTTTACTTTATTAAACCATTATTTTGAATATACAAAAATAACTGAGTGGCTTAATTTTGTAGAAGTAACTACTAAATATGTAACTAATTAATGTTTTCTATGTAGGTCCCCAACACTGCTGCCAAAACAGCCAGAAATTAAATATATCATCGTTCTCAAATGGCTCTAATTACTACGGAAGAGGATTAGGGCCACTGGGAAAAAAAAGGAAAAAGTTAACTGATTTTTACATTTTATTTCAGTATAGTATGGGAAAAAAAGTCAGAATTCTGACTTTATTCACAGAATTCTGACTTTTTTCTCAATTCTGAATTTAATCTCAAAATTCTGACTTTTTCTCAGAATTCTGACTTCAATCTCAGAATTGTGGATCTTAATGTAGATGGTCACCATGAAGGTAGAGATGTGGGAGCTCTCAGCTTCACTGACAAAGATGTGAGTTGTTTGAGGTGGCCAGTGACACATTGGTGGAGAATGATGGAATTAGGCAACTTTTTATGTGCCCAAGGGGTCCCCTCATTAATGGAGGAGCAGAAGGTCATTAAAACAAGAGAGCTAGTCTCTAAAACATGGCTATGGCTATGGCTTGATGCTAACATGTTTGTTATCTGTCAGAATTCAGTCAGAATTCTGAGATTAAAGGAGAAATTCTGAAAAAAAAGTTAGAATTCTGAAAAAAAAAGTCAGAATTCTGACTTTTTTCCCATATTAAACTGAAATAAAATGTAAAAATCACTTAACTTTTTTTTTCCAGTGGCCCTAATCCTCTTCTGTAAATTACACCTGAAGGTGAAAACGGATTTCTTGAATGCAAAGAGTAGATTCTGTAGAATCTCTGATTTTATACCTCGGAGTGTTTTTAACTGTGAAAAATACAGTATATTATGGACGTGTATGCAGGGTTATTACAGTTGACTAAAATGAAGTCAATAAACTGTTTACGGTTTAAAAAATGTACTAAAATATACTGAGATTATCGAAGTTTCCCCTTTGTTTCAGTTCTAATACTATTTCAAGACTCATTAGCTGATGGGAAATCATTTTGTTTTTTTTCTTCAACACTCACTTAAAATCAACTGTAATCAAATAATTTTTTAAAAATAGTTTTCTGTGTGATTTATATATATATATATATATATATATATATATATATATATACACTATATTGCCAAAAGTATTTGCTCACCTGCCTTGACTCACATATGAGCTTAAGTGACATCCCGTTCCTAATCCATAGGGTTCAATATGACGTCGGTCCACCCTTTGCAGCTAGAACAGCTTCAACTCTTCTGGGAAGGCTGTCCACAAGGTTTAGGAGTGTGTTTATGGGAATTTTTGACCATTCTTCCAGAAGCGCATTTGTGAGGTCGCACACTGATGTTGGACGAGAAGGCCTGGCTCTCAGTCTCCGCTCTAATTCATCCCAAAGGTGTTCTATCGGGTTGAGGTCAGGACTCTGTGCAGGCCAGTCAAGTTCATCCACACCAGACTCTGTCATCCATGTCTTTATGGACCTTGCTTTGTGCACTGGTGCACAGTCATGTTGGAAGAGGAAGGGGCCAGCTCCAAACTGTTCCCACAAAGTTGGGAGCATGGAATTGTCCAAAATGTCTTGGTATGCTGAAGCATTCAGAGTTCCTTTCACTGGAACTAAGGGGCCAAGCCCAGCTCCTGAAAAACAACCTCACACCATAATCCCCCCTCCACCAAACTTTACACTTGGCACAATGCAGTCAGACAAGTACCGTTCTCCTGGCAACCGCCAAACCCAGACCCGTCCATCAGATTGCCAGATGGAGAAGCGCGATTCGTCACTCCAGAGAACGCGTCTCCACTGCTCTAGAGTCCAGTGGCGGCGTGCTTTACACCACCGCATCCGACGCTTTGCATTGCACTTGGTTATGTATGGCTTGGATGCAGCTGCTCGACCATGGAAACCCATTCCATGAAGCTCTCTGCGCACTGTTCTTGAGCTAATCTGAAGGCCACATGAAGTTTGGAGGTCTGTAGTGATTGACTCTGCAGAAAGTTGGCGACCTCTTCGCACTATGCGCGTCAGCATCCGCTGACCCCGCTCCGTCAGTTTACGTGGCCTACCACTTCGTGGCTGAGTTGCTGTCGTTCCCAAACACTTCCATTTTCTTATAATACAGCTGACAGTTGACTGTGGAATATTTAGGAGCGAGGAAATTTCACGACTGGATTTGTTGCACAGGTGGCATCCTATCACAGTTCCACGCTGGAATTCACTGAGCTCCTGAGAGCGACCCATTCTTTCACAAATGTTTGTAAAAACAGTCTGCATGCCTAGGTGCTTGAATTTATACACCTGTGGCCATGGAAGTGATTGGAACACCTGATTCCAATAATTTGGATGGGTGAGCAAATACTTTTGGCAATATAGTGTATATATATATATATATATATATATATATATATATATATATATATATATATATATATATATATTATTAATACGACAATTTTAATCCTGTGGCTAAAATATGAAAAATGAAAAAACTAGAACTAAACTTTACCCCAGCGTCCCATAAACAAGACGAATAAAAACTAGCAAACCAATTCAAATAACTAATTTAGAGAAGAATTTTGAATGTTTGAACTCAATGAAATTAAACTATAATGTAAAGTCTGAAACCTTTTTTCTTACCCTGTACAATCAGCTGGATAAGATGTTCCTGAAAAAGTTCTGTGGATCTTCTTTTTTAGAGTCCATGTTGAGTTACTGAAAGAACCTCCTGGGAAACAGACAGATCAGTTAGTCCTTTGCCAATTTTGTACATAGAACATTAAACTTTGCGTCTGTGTTACAAATAAAGAACATTAAAAAATATATAGATTTTCAAATAATAAATGTATTGGAGCTTTTTTTTGCTGACAGACATTGTGGTAATGACGCCGCTTCCATGTCTGACTTTACCGTCATTAACGATGTCACTACCTGATCCGTACCATCAGCTCATTTGCATTCCCAGAAATACATCCGGTGTTCTGTCTGACCAGCATACCCATAGTCTTGCGTGCGCAAGACGTCATATTTATATTTATCCCTTTAGTTTTGTGAGAAAACTAGACTTTAAACTACCTCAGCAGGCATCTATTAGTCATGTACAAAAGAAACCATTTAAGGTCAGATCGCCATACACTTCAAAAAACGCCAAAAAGTTATTAAATCGTTTTTTTGTACATTACTAAAGGAATACACATCTGTTGAGGTAGTTTAAAGTCTATTCTTCGTACATAACTAAAGGGATAAACTAAGGGAATAAACGGGTATCGAGTATATATGCTGGTCTGATCGGGTATGCACATCTGACAGAACACCGGGTCGTCATCGATTTTATTTTGTAACAAAGACTTAAATTACATTTAAAATATATGCTGATCAGCATTAACATTACATTGCATTAAACAACCCCCCTTTCAGAGACATAGACAGGTATGGGGCATTGCAGGCTAATGCAAAAGAAGCAAATGACCCCCCATCCCTAAGTGGCAGACCCGTTCATCCGCTTCCTCTGAGCTCTTGCAGCGGTGAGGATTTGTTTGTCTTTGAGTGCTGCAGAGTAAAACTCTGAGCAAGACGGTTCATAACTGAGGCTGACAATAAGTTCAGCTTTAATTAATTCAGTGGATCATTTGTTCAGTCCATTAGCAGAAGTTCTTGGAGAAGGAACATTAAAAAAAAAGAAAAGAAAAGAAATTATAATAAATCTATCTACCTATCAATCCATCCATAGTGCAAAGAACTTATTTCTAAAGCAGAAAGATTGAATAATAAAAAGTTTCTGGATTTCAGGTGCTTTAATCCATTTCTGGACTAACCCCCCTGAACCACACCATGGGGAGCCAATGGTTTCCCACTGGAGCTGATATCACAAGAAACTAACCAGTTGGAGCTGATCTGAAACTGGAATCATATCTAAAGGAGGGGTTACCGTGAGTGTCAGTTAGTAAATTACTGTTAAAAGGATTACTGTTGTAATTTTGTTGACATTTCATGGCTAATATGTGAACAATTAAAGTGTGAAATTAGGTGGCACACTGATGCTACATTCAGACCGCAAGCAGCAGAGGCAGAAGAAGCAGCTAGTTTGCATGCAAAGTCTATGGTTGATGTGACGCACTTCATGAATTGGAAAAACGTAACTTTAGCTGCTGGATGCGCCACATCCACCAATCAGAGAAGCTGATCTGGGAGCTGGCAGGGAGACGGACACAGCACTGCTGATGCAGAGCGCTATCACTCCTCTGAAACAGTTTATTAAAGCCTAAATTAACTTAAAAAGTAGAAAAATATGTTTGATTTTATTATCCTGGTGCCTGCAGTGTGGATTTTGTACATAAAAAAAACGCTAACATCTACATCCAGCCGCCACCAACAGTAGGGGAAAACCCCCAATAGGCGAGCGGGCCTGAGGCAGCCGCTGCTGGGGATTCCCAGTGACAGCGCAACACCGGTATGTGGGGGTCTGAGCGGCTCCCACAGAGAAATAATCTTTGAAGGCAGGATGGTAATCTGGATGAACTGACTGCACAGACCATGTTTTCAGGAGGACTGTCTCACTTAGAAACATATAGACATTTTTTTTTTAAGTTTTTTTACAGCACTCTCTGGCTCTTTTTTTTTTTTTGGACAGTAGGCTGACAGGAAAGAGGGTATTAGAGAGGGGGAGAGGCATGCGGCAAAGGATCAAGGTCAGATTCGAACCCAGGTCGGCCCCGTCAAGGACTAAGGCCATACATGGGTTTAGTGCGCTAACCACTGCGCCACCAAAGCACGCTTCTAAAAGTATATTAAAACTACTTTCTAACCACTGATCACAGCTAATTTAGCTGCCATTGTTCCAGGCAAAGAAGGGATAAGGGTAGCTCCGCCCAACGCGCATCAGAACCACTTTCCAGCGCGCAGCCAGAGCAGCAAAGATGCTTCAGCCACGCGTCAGAACTACCTACAACTCTTTGGTTTAGAGGCGACCTGCTTCTCTCAGAGGAAGTGAATCACGTCCACATGGAAACATAAATCACCTGGTAGGGCTGGCCCTATCCCTGGCCCCCCATCTAGCTACACCCCTAACAATTGTGATGTAATTTGTTTTTAGGAAGAAGTTTTAGAGGTTAATGTGGACAGAAAGGATCCTGCTGTGAATGTCTGTGTTGCCTTTGCTTTGTGGAGATAATTACTGGGATCTCACTGCGTTAAACTGGTCCCTGTGACCTTAAATTGGTCAGGGAAAAGCTTACAGCAGACTTACTTTGAGCTTGGTAAACATATCAAGGTTCTATTAATCATTGCGTCTTTTAACGAGAAAGCCAATAAGCGTGTTCCTGAGAAAAGTCAAGCTGCATCAAAGTTCAGCTCAAACAAATGGGATCAGTTTCTTACTGTGTAATCTGTCCCTGACCATCTGACTGCGGTCTGTCAGCTGGGATCCGTTTTCAGCCATGGACACGTGGTCGGCCTGTAGAGACAGCACTCAATCAGACCAGCAGGGGACTGGTCCTACACAGCTTCTTTTAATGTTGAGGGATGAGTGCTGCTCACAGAGTTTCTGTAGACGTCCTCTACCAGCTGCCTGATGAGGCGCTCTGGGGACGGCAGCGCAGACGTCTTATGATGAAACTCACAGGTCTCCAGCACCGTCAGCAGGTCGCTCCTCCTCACCGCCATGTCCTCACACATGCTCAGCAGCAAACCCTCCAGCTCTGCGCTGATCTGGACGAGCTGAGGAGACGCAGAGCAAACGGAGAGACGTTAAACCGTACGGACGGAAATTGGTTCCATTATTGATGCCAGCAAAAAAAAATAATTTATAAATAAAATAAAAAACAACAGATTTTGTAAATAGAAATAAAAAAAAAAAACAGATTTTGTAAATATAAAAAAAACTGTTTTTTTTAAATAGGAATAAAAAAAAACACATTTTGTTTAAAAATCAAATTTTGAAATAAAAAAAATGATCCCAATGTTTTGTAAATGGAAATGTTGTAAAGATTGCAATCCATACATTACTTTTTTTATTTATTACAAAAAAAGAGGTTTAGAGAGTAAATTTGCTGTTTTCTCAGAATTTTTTTTTTTTAAATGATGATTTTTTTTTTTCTCCATAGGTTATTTTTTTCCTAATTGCATTTTTCACATTTTTCCCCTCCAGATTTTCTCTTTTTTTTCTCAGATTAATTCTTTACAAACTTAATTTTCCAGATCACAAAATGTCTGAAATAGCGTTGAGTTCCAGGTTTTATCCAGTACTCCAACAAAGCCTTGTTTTTGTTTAGAAAACATGCAAATTGAAATAGATGAACGGGTCCCCCTCTTTGGAATGGGGGTTGATTGGCTTCTTCGTTAGCCTGCAATAACCTTCCAGCTATCATTGCAACCCCCATCCCTTTAAAATATAATATTTGAAAAGAAATATGTATACTCTAAAATCCTTTTATTATGAAGTTCACTTCCTGGTTTGCATATTTTTTTTAAACTGCCATTGATAAACTTTTTTTCCCCTTTGCTGCAATAATGGAACAAAATTTACTCAATAAATGTTGAGGGCAAAGAAAACAGTGATCAGATGAAGGAAACCAGGAAATTACCTGATTTTGAGGTAGGCGATAATCAGCACACCAGTATAGAGTCATTCCCAGTGAGTACACGACCACCTGAGGATCAAAACACAAACACTTTCTGAGATTTAAATCCAAATCTAAAAGCCATGTGGAGCTAATTTTCACAAGAGATTTTCTTTAACATTGACAGCCATTCAGATATTCTCAGTGTTTGTCAGAACTCAGAACAGAAGGATCCAGCAATTTGAGGCGGACAAAACTGTTTGATTTTTCAGAACGTTTTATTAACAACAGGATCGGGGGGACAATGGCTACGTTTACATGGACACAACTAATCGGATTGAAGGCCTGATCAGATCAAAAAGGTTTCATGCAAACATGTCAGACTGAAGATTCTAATCCGATTCGGTCCGATCGGATCTAAATTTAATTCCGAAAAAGAGAGGTGGTTTTTGCCGATCGCCATTCTGATTGGCGTCCATGTAAACACCCATTCGGATCTTAAGAGTAAAATAATCTTCACTGCGCATGTGTGCGACGTCAGCGTGACGTTTTTCCGCCTTGTCAACAACAGGAAACCACCGGTCGCTCTCGCTCTTGTTGTGAACAACATGGCGGGAGGAGTCTAGGAACGCCGACTTATACACTCAAGTTCATTTAAAGCTGCAGGAAGCAGGAATTTATCCTCCTCCTCTTCCTCTTCTTCCTCTCCACAGCCCACTCGCTCTCCCACGCCGGTTCAATCGCTCATTCTCTACATTTTCTCTCGGACATTTCGCTGCCAAGTGCTTTTTTCCTCCTCTCTCCTTTTTTCTTTCCGCTCGCTCCGAGCGCATCGTTTGTCAGGCCTCCCAAAAACCAGACGCAGACAGAACTGCCAAGTTTGGCAGGAAGTTCTGCGCATGCTTAAAAGATTTAATCTGATCCAACGCTTGGTACATGTATACACACGTCATGATCGGATCATTTTAATTTAGTGTCCATGTAAACGGAGATTTTGAATTTCCGATCAACCAAGGTTTGGATCGGATCAGGGAAATTTTGCGCATGTAAACGTAGCTAGTGTTGACGTGTAAGACAGGAACCTCTGCGGGTGGAGACAGCAGGTTAGTGACCGTGTCTTTCTGGAAGTGGATGATCACAAACAAGTGAGTCACTAACCTGGTCTTCTACAGGTGCTGGTCATAAAATTAGAATATCATGAAAAAGTAGATTGATTTCAGTAATTCCATTTAAAAAGTGAAACTTGTATATTATATTCATACATTACATACAAACTCATATATTTCAGATGTTTATTTTGTTTAATTTTGATGATTACAAATGACAACAAATGAAAATCTCAAATTCATCATATCAGAAAATTAGAATATTGTGAAAAGGTTCAAAATTGATGGCCCCTGGTACCACACTCTAATCAGCTAATTAACTCAAACCACCTGCAAAAGCCTTTAAATGGTCTCTCAGTCTAGTTCTATAGGCTACACAATCATGGGGAAGACTGCTGACTTGACAGTTGTCCAAAAGACGACCATCGACACCTTGCACAAGGAGGGCAAGACACAAAAGGTCATCGCTAAAGAGGCTGGCTGTTCACAGAGCTCAGTGTCCAAGCACATTAATAGAGAGGCGAAGGGAAGGAAAAGATGTGGTCGAAAAAAGTGTACAAGCAAGAGAGATAACCGCACCCTGGAGAGGATTGTGAAACAAAACCCATTCAAAAATGTGGGGGAGATTCACAAAGAGTGGACTGCAGCTGGAGTGAGTGCTTCAAGAACCACCACACACAGACGTATGAAAGACATGGGTTTCTGCTGTCGCATTCCTTGTGTCAAGCCACTCTTGAACCACAGACAGCGTCAGAAGCGTCTTGCCTGGGCTAAAGAGAAACAGGACTGGACTGCTGGTGAGTGGTCCAAAGTCATGTTCTCTGATGAAAGTAAATTTTGCATTTCCTTTGGAAATCAAGGTCCCAGAGTCTGGAGGAAAAGAAGAGAGGCACTTCATCCACGTTGCTTGAAGTCCAGTGTAAAGTTTCCACAGTCAGTGATGGTTTGGGGTGCCATGTCATCTGCTGGTGTTGGTCCATTGTGTTTTCTGAGGTCCAGGGTCAACGCAGCCACATACCAGGAAGTTTTAGAGCACTTCATGCTTCCTGCAGCTGACCAACTTTTTGGAGATGCAGATTTCATTTTCCAACAGGACTTGGCACCTGCACACAGTGCCAAAGCTACCAGTACCTGGTTGAAGGACCATGGTATCCCTGTTCTTAATTGGCCAGCAAACTCTCCTGACCTTAACCCCATAGAAAATCTATGGGGTATTGTGAAGAAGAAGATGCAATACACCAGACCCAACAATTCAGAAGAGCTAAAAGCCACTATTAGAGCAACCTGGGCTATCATAACACCTGAGCAGTGCCACAGACTGATCGACTCCATGCCACGCCGCATTGCTGCAGTAATACAGGCCAAAGGAGGCCCAACTAAATACTGAGTGCTGTACATGCTCATACTTTTCATGTTCATACTTTTCAGTTGGCCAACATTTCTATAAATCCTTTGTTTTTATTGGTCTTCAGTAATATTCTAATTTTCTGATATGATGAATTTGAGATTTTCATTTGTTGTCATTTGTAATCATCAAAATTAAACAAAATAAACATTTGAAATATATGAGTTTGTATGTAATGTATGAATATAATATACAAGTTTCACTTTTTAAATGGAATTACTGAAATCAATCTACTTTTTCATGATATTCTAATTTTATGACCAGCACCTGTAGTTCAATCTGAGTCCAGAGGTAGAGGATTGTTCTGGCCAGCTGGCTGCCAACGCGACGCAATGGCTGCCGTACAGCGAGTCTCAGACACAGGTGTATTGGAGGTCAGAGGACAGGCAGTAGATCAGAATGAAGCAGACAGATGTAGGCAGCATAATCCAGAGGGCGGAGCCAAAGCTGATGTCAGAGATGTGGTCAGTTGTTATAGTCAGGAGGTCGGAGATCCAGAGAGGCGCGAAGGAGAATCCAAGACAGAGTCAAGTAACAGTTCTAGGTTCCGCACACAATGGTGCTGACAGCCTCAGCGGTCGGGAAATGGTTCCGGTCAGTACACAAGCAGGCAGAGGTAAGGCAGAAGTCAAAAGACAGATCAGGTAAACAGATCGCACAGGAAGAGGCATGCAGGCTAATAGGTCGAGAGGCAGAACAGGTGAGGATCACGCAGTCAGAAAACAGTCTCACCACGCAGCTCGAAATAATCTGGCACTGATGACTGGTCTGAAGGCTGGTTAAATAGAGGCTAATGCATGTCAATCAGATAAGCAGTTAATGACAACTGGGCGGGGCTAAGCAGGTGTATGAAATGAGTGACCAGATTCTCAGACCAGACATTAGAGTCAAGATCATGACAGAACTTCCTTTTGAAAGCATATGTTTCCTCCACCATTAGTTCACTGTTACACCCGCTGGCAAATTCCAGTAAGCCTACACTGGGGCAGACTTGCTATTTAAGGCCTGAATGATCCACTCGCCCTACCCATTACATGGTTTGAGATGGCCCTTAATGTGGGGGACCCTCCACGGGAATGCAAGAACAGAGGGATAGCGTTCAGGGGGCGGTTTGGGATTCAGCTGCAGAATGATCAAAAGGGAAAACTAGAGGATGGGGAAGGGACCGAAGACATTGGATGATCGATATGCAATGGAAAAACATCATCTAAAGACAACATATGAAAAAATACAGCAAATATGAAATTAATGCAGAGAATGCTAAAAGGAAATAACATAAACACCAATGAATCTGAACAGCAAACGGGATAACAGAATCAAGGCATAACTGAACACTTTAACAGAACCAAGATGTCAAGAAAAGCAGATCATGACAGATGTTGCAGGTGTTGATGTTGTAGAGGTCTGTCCTACATCCAATCTGGAGAAGCCTCTGACTGAGAAAAATGTTGAGATGGTCACTGTTGTCCATAATCTTCTTCATCTTCAAAAAATCATCTTCAGAAAGGTTAGCTGGAAGAACTTTTGAACAGGAGTTGTGTTTGTTTTTTTGGACACTCTAAAATACTATGGTTACGTTAATCTGCACCAATAGATATGAAAGTGCGCAGCGGCACCATTACTCTGAGCTACAGGCAGGGTTTCCTGCCTGGTTACACGTGTCCAAAGCTTCAGGTGCGCTCTGAGGTCATAGAGATAAAGTTTCTCATGAGCGGAAAAATCCGAAATGCGTTTCTGTTTCTCCTTGTTTCTGTCACTAGACTATGTCAATTTACTAGTCTGCTGTCTCAGCGGGATACCACGCAATAGCCTGCTTGACGTTGCCATGACAACGTAACTTTGACGAACTTGAGTGGATCAGTCCTCAAAAAAATTTAATCAAAATCCAAATTAAAAAATGCTAAATAATTTTCCAAAAATATTCATAAGAGATTTAAAAATTGTGCAAAGTAATTTTAATACACTTTTTTAAAATCTCCCTCTTGCCACTAGGGGGTGTACACATGATCCAAATTAGCCAATAAGCTGTCAGTCTGGGTTGCTGCTGCTGCTACTTTTAGACTTTTAGATGGGAAATAAGGAGAAGATGATGAGAAAAAGAGAGCAGAGAAAGTGTGGACTGCTGGAAGAACTGTGGTGAACTGGTGAAAGAAAAATGAAATGGCATGCTCAAAGATGACCCTGCACATTTAGAGGATGTTTGGCTCAACCTGCTGCTGTGAAGCAGGATTCTCCACCATGAACAGAATCAAAAATAAATATGGATCCAGGCTCAGAATGAGCTTCTTGATATGTGCTTGAGAATGGCTTAGTCTCCATTCAAACCAGGTTTAAAGCCTTGCAGGGCAGCATAAAGGGCTGGTTATCCCCCTGCAGTGTATCGCAGTGAGCTTTTAACAGGTGTGACACTGACACAGACATTTTTGATTTATGCCCAATAAGCGTGGTCTGCACGATGTTATGCCACACCACAACACCAGAGGGACAATCAGGAACTAGCTGTGGGTGTAGATACGGCCGAGGCGGTGAGGAAGTGGGGGCAAGTTTGTTCGACAATGGAGGGACATGAGGGCGAAAAC